TAAGATATGGCAACTGCCACAAAGAACTCATTTAGATTTTTATAACCTTTAATTTTCTTATCTGAAATGTTCTCAATTTTCCATTTTGTCTCTTTAAATTCTATTTTCATTAATTTTTGCAATTACATTTTAAATCTCATAATGTTCTCATTCTTTGAATTCCTTCCTTTTAATAGCATCCTCTTGTTTCATGTGTATGGTATTTTCTTACCTGGGGATATGAATTGCATTTTGTTTTTCTACTTCCTGCACGAGTTCTGTTCCCTTTGCATTCCTTCCTCCCCTCCCATTGCTTATATGGATCTCTCCCACTCCTGAAGCGTTTCTCTGTAGTCTGATGATGGTGAGCTGTCCACTAAGCTGCTAGCAAGGTGCCAGCAAGCTGACAGCAGTGGGAGGGGTTTGTTCACAGGTGGGCTTCTCTGGCCAGGATGGGCCGTTTCATTGAGAACCTTCAAACTGCCAGTATATATAAGCTTTTTTTTCTTGGACAGGATTTCTCAGAAAGGAACCCTTTAACTTCCTGCTCAGAGGATGTTAAATAGACGCCGGTTTTCTAGGAGCTAAGGAAAAGGCAGCTGGGCATCTTGCTGCTCCGTGTGTAGACTTCCACTTAATCCTCTGCTTTCCGTATAACACTCTGGCCTTCATCTCTGCCTGGTATTCCCGAATCCAGGGGTCCTGATTCAACAACTCCAGAAAACAGACCACCAGTGTGCCATGAGGGAGTGGGACAGAGTTTCCTTAGGTGAAAAGGGTAACTAGAGGGTCTCACTGCAGCTTAACAGCCTTGCCACTGCTACCATTTTTGACCACACTTCACCTGCGTTTGGAGGCACCTAGTGGACGAGCTTTAAGGTCTTGAATCAGCTTGCTTCTGCCCCTCTCCCTACCACCTCCTATGGGCATTTAGCTTTCATTTTTCTGTAGTTTATTTAGTTACCAATTGCCCATTTGCTTCCTAGTTTCTAAAAATTATTTTGTCATCTCCCTGTCATCTCTTACTCTTTTTGGCCTGGAGTTTATACTGTCTTTTTTGTTTGCTGTGTTTTGCTGGTTTTTGGATTTGGGAGATAAAAGTAACTGTGTTACTTTTGAGATGGAACAGGAACCCCTCTTAGGGGCCTAGAGCCTGTCCCTGCACCAAACAAAATTTTCTTGAAATATTGAATTCCTTCAAAAAAAATTCCAGATGCTTAACTATCCCTAAAAAATAACATAACAAAAAGATAATAACTTAAAACAATAGCCAAAAAAATTAGTCACTGGATGGTTTGGGTCTCTATAAAAACTAAAAAGAGCATCTTATATGTCCCTGTTTTTCAAAAAACCAGACCCGCCACCAAGTGGATCCACTGACACATAAACCTCTAATAAGGGAGAACTGAAGATTAAATGCTGCCACTCCTTGCTCTGAGTTTCTTCCTGAAAGGCCTAAAAGAAGTCACGCCCACGAGCCAGGGCTAACATTCTTTTCTGATGACCCCAAAATTTTAAATAAAGCTTCTCTTCCTTAACCAATTACAAATCAAAAAAATCTTTAAATCTGTTACCTATAAGCCCCCACTTCAAGATATCCCACCCTTTGAGGCCAAACCAATGTATTATAGAACCTCCATGTATTAATTTACAATTTTGCCTCTAACTCTTGCTTTCTTAAAATGTACCCTGGCCTTTAAAAACCCTTCTTTATGAGCCACTGGAGAGGTCAGGTCCTAAGCATAAACTGCCCAATTCTCCTTGCTTCAAGGTACCTACAAATAAATGCCCTCCTTTCTCCTGCTGAAAACCTTGGCATAGATGTTTGGCCTTACTATGCTGGGCAAGCAGACCCCAGTTCAATTTAATAACATTGTTGAGATTTTTCATTAATTAATTAGTATTGGCATTTATTATAACTTCTAGCTTCCCTCCATGCAAATTTGACCTAAGTTGTTAATGTTAATGAACATTTTCACCTAAGTTGTTAATGTTAATGAACACGGCAGCATGTCATTTGCAGTTTGTCTCCAGTCTACATCAGTCTGTCAACATGCGTTCTTTGAGTTCGGTCATTCTACCAGCTGAAGAACCAGCCACACTCCCATTCAATCCACAAGCATATCACAGCAGTCTTCCTCACAGACTCTGCTGAAACCCAGATACATAAAAAGTAAGGTAGTCCTCAGAACCACCAGTCTAGTACCAAGCAAAAAGTGTATTTCCAGAATATTGAAGTGGAAGTTATTATAGAATCAAGGATATCTTATACAATGAATCCAAGGGTGAGAAGGCAGCTGGCCTTTTTGCTTGGAAGGAAGAGTAAGTATCCTAAGGAACATCACTTCTCCTGAGAGCACACAGATGGCTGGAATCATGCCAGGACTAACATGCCCAAGTGGTTTCCAGAATCCACCTTTTGCCCACTTAAAAAATTCAGTTCATTTGATCATTTTCTTCTGAGAATGCCTCAAAATTATAATTTGCAGTTTCATAGCATAGTCATTAGTATAGGGACTATAGACCTGGAGATATAGTTCATTTCTAGTCCCCCCTTACCCATATCCTCACCCACTATCTTGGCCATTAACTCCTTTCCTACCCTGTTCAGTGTTATGTTGGAGTATACGTTCTTTCAGTATTAACTATAGTATTATAATGCTATTAGCGTTACAACACCACAGCAGGAACACTCCTCCTGTTCTTGCTCTGAACGATTTTGAAAAGCCTGTTTATTGTGGATTAGACTTTGTGCCTCTACTTATAATTCAGCAACAAATTTTATATTCATTTCTGTTTGCTTTATACTCTTTCTTCCTATGAAAATAGCTAGAAAGCAGTAATGCTAAATTAAAAGATAGAATGGTGGTGGATCAGTTCAAATTTTTTTGTGTGTGCATTTAACAGAAAAACCCAAGCTGGTGTAAATATTAAAGTGGAAACTATAATAGAATCAAGGCTATCTTCTAGAACGAATCTAAGGGTAAGAAGGCAGCTGGCCTTAGGATAGAACTGAAAACTGGAAATCTCTGGGACTTCAGAGAACTCTCTCCTTCGCTCATCTTTACTTCTCTTAATGCATACATCTCACTTTTTTTTTTCTTTCCAACAGAACGGGTTAACTGCTAGTTGGCCTAATTGTTCTGAAGTTCTGGCCCCACATGAAGGTTCTATTTCAAGTCTGAAATTCCCAGGGAAGGAGGGAGGAAACTCCTGATTGGCCCAGATTGATTCAGGAGCAGACTCCCTCCTCGATCAACTGTGACCACACAGGAGCAGCGGAATCTCAGTGCGTGAAACAGATACCAGGACCCCACTGCTAAGGTGAGGATGGTAGGTAAGAGAATGAATATGAGCTTTTAAAAAGATACCCCAAAAGATGTTTTTATACAGGGGTTTTGATGGGCTGAAGGCCTGGAAGACAGAAACACTGCCAGTGTCTTTTTTCTTTCTAAAATAAGCTTATACTTGGCTGGAAGCAGTGGCTCACACCTGTAATCCCAGCACTTTGGGAGGCTGAGGCAGGCGAATCACGAGGTCAAGAGATCGAGACCATCCTGGCCAACATGGTGAAACCCTGTCTCTACTAAAAATACAAAAGTTAACTAGGCACAGTGGCGGGCACCTGTAGTCCCAGCTACTTGGGAGGCTGAGGCAGGAGAATCGCTTGAACCTGGGAGGCAGAGCTTGCAGTGAGCTGAGATCGTGCCACTGGACTCCAGCCTGGAGACAGAGCCAGACTCCGTCTCAAAGAAAAAAAAAACTTAATGTTTGTTGTTACTCTGAACTGTAGCAACTATGTTCTTCTGAAGGAAAATCTGAGCAAGGAGCAGGTTGCTAGTGATCTTGGAACATGCTATTTAATCTCTAGATATAAGGTGGTGATGACAATATCAATAACAACACCTACCTTGCAGTTCCCTGAGAGAAACAGAGATAACATATCCAAAGTGTTTAGCACAGTACTTAGCATATAGTAGCAGAGTAAAAACTCAGCAAATGGTAGCTATGCTTTTAAAAGCTAAACAAACCTATGCAATATCAGCTTTTTTTTTAAATTTTTCCTTAGGGAGACTTATTATTTCCTCCAAGGCTATTTAGTAGACACTGGAGCTACATACAGTCCAGTGAGCTAATTTAAGATAGAAACTCAGAGCACAGAATGCTCAGTTCCACAGAATTCCAACACACTAGTCTAACTTATTACTGTATCTGTTACCTCTACCATTACCTGTAAATGGCATGAAGTAAAAAAAAGCATGTGAAACAATTAACCTTAATTATAAAAATAAAATGTATTTAAATTATACACACAGAGTACACAATATACTTATTACATACAAATTCTGCACTAGAAAGTTTTGTGTACAGTAGAAACAGTGGTAAGAATTCCTAGTAAGTCCCTATTTTATTTGATCCTAAGCCTCTACTTGTTTCCCTGCCACAGTTGGGCTGGCTGTTACTAACCCATATGCACACTAATTACAGCTTTTATTTTTCCCTAAAAAGTTGTTATTGGCCGGGCACCGTGGCTCAAGCCTGTAATCCCAGCACTTTGGGAGGCTGAGACAGGCGGATCACGAGGTCAGGAGATCGAGACCATCCTGGCTAACACGGTGAAACCCCGTCTCCACTAAAAATACAAAAAACTAGCCGGCCTGTAGTCCCAGCTACTCGGGAGGCTGAGGCAGGAGAATGGCGTAAACCCAGAAGGCGGAGCTTGCAGTGAGCTGAGATCCGGCCACTGCACTCCAGCCTGGGTGACAGAGCGAGACTCTGTCTCAAAAAAAAAAAAATTTGTTATTAAGCTAACAGTATATCTAAAAAGTATGGTTAACTTAAATTCAAAAACATGTAATAGTGGAGATGAGTAAAAGGCTTTTATGTCGTGTTTTTACTCAGGAGTATGTCCTTTATTCCATATATACTACTTGCCCAGTCTTATATTCTTTGTGATCTTGAAATGGAAGCCATGTCCTGTTATTGAACAAGCTCTTCTCTATTTTTTCATCAACCACAAATATAGATGAAGCATTTTTTTATTTGCCTTGGAGCAATATGTTTTGAATTAAGCCCAGCATCCCATGTTTCAGTTGAGGTAGCTAAGATACATGCAGGTGAAAAGTAAAAGACTAAATTATTTGTCTTCCACCTACGACATAACTATTTTAAATAATTTTCTTAGGTGCTTAGTTATCATGGTCATGACATCATCAAGAGTCCCACTTTGTCTTCCCCTTAATAATAAACAACCTCTGTTTATACATATTTGAAAAACTGCCTCATGTGATACTGACAGAGCTATAGTATTAAATACAAAGCTAAAGTGAGTTAAAAATAGTGTATTCAACTGCAAGCTAGCTCAAAGGCTTATATGTCCATTTCAGCATTGGGAACAATTTCACTATAGAATGCGAAAGGAAAATGACAGAATATACAAATTTTTGTAGGAATAATTTTGCATATATACCACAAGATAATTATTACATATTAAAAATAAATACAGTGTTAGGTAATTCTGAAATTGTCATTTCTGTTTTGGAGTTACGAATAATAAGCCCTGAGACAGAAGATACTGGTCCTCACACAGCAGCTGCCATTACTCCATTCTCAGTTGCGGTGCTTTATATAGAACAATAGGTATACAGAAGCCTTTGAGCCATTCCGGTATTCCCACTGCTCTGATAAATGAGAGACAAGTTGTAGGCAATATCTCTTCGTAAGTCTAACTGGTCAACTTCTATGCCCTAGGGAGAAAAAGATACCCTTATGTTTAATATTTCCAACTGTCAATCAGGACAATTTTATGGCAAATTAATAGTTATAAGTGTAAGTTTTCAAAAGCTATTAAAGCTCATATACTAAAAAAAATTATAAAACTATGCATATACCTTGGATCAATGCTGATTCAGTTAACAGTTATTATCAAATATTTTAACTGTCTAGCCAGTAATTTAAAGTCTCACCCACAAACTACAGCAGAATAAACGCCAGATGAATTTTGGATTTAAGAGTTAAAAAAAAAAAAGAAAATCCATAAAAGAAAAAATACAATGGGATGATATAATCTTGAGTAGGAAAGGTCCTTTTCATGATAGCAAAAGTAGCAACTATAAAGGGAAAGATATGTATGACTTCATAAAAAACTTCTCTGTATAAAAATAACATAATATTAAATGAACACCAATGACCAGATGGGAAAAAATTCCTATGCTATTATGGAAAGGCATATAAAGTGTAGGTTTAGGAGGGATACAACAAATTGACTACAATATTACCTCAGGGGTATTTATAGTTTTTCCCACATATATAACAAAGCAATGAATTCAATGGAATAGATTAGACCTATGTTTCTAATCTTCCCCAATACAAAAACTTTGGGTCAACTAAAAAAAAATCTGCAACAATTAAAAATGATACCTGTAAAGCTCAAGTAACAAGATTTAACAATATTTATGAAATAACACTGTATAAAACAACCTTTAATAAACAACCTCTTAGGTGTATTTGAAAAACTGCCTCAAGTAATATTGACAGGGCTAGAGTATTAAATGCAAAGATGAATAAATGGTGTGAGTAAACAATAGTGTTTTTATACATATAAAAAAAAAAAAGTATATATGAATATGCATATATACCTATTTATACATATGCATATATAAATATAAAATATGTATGACATACATATATAAATATGTATACAATATGTAAATAGTATATATATAAAAACAGCATCACTATAAAAATATATATTCATTTGTTTAAACTGAACAGTAATAGAAAACAATTGTGAGGGAATACAGGGATTATGAGTTTTTAAAGTTTTTTCTAATACAGTGCTATGTTAAAATATATTTAAAAATTAACCTATTTCAGGATTTAAAATAAAAATCAGACTTTAAACATAGATCATCATAGTACTGGCAACACTACCCTATCTTAAAAATAAACTACATTAATACTGGTCTTTCATCTTTATAAAGAAACATGTGAGTTACACTTGGAAACAGTCACAATATTCTTCAATATTCAGACTTGATGTCTACCAGTTCCTGTCTGTAAAGCATAGGAATTACCTTGGGAACTAAAATGCTCACATGGTTGCTGGTCAAGTCTTGAGGCTCAGATGTGAAAGATCTAACTGTTGCTGAACATAATTACATAAATGTACTGAATAAGAGAAAATACATTTTAATATAGAAACTATTATTTACTGTCTGGAATTAGCTAACTGCACTTATCTACAGACAGATGAAGTGTCTCAGTTTTAAAAATGTACAATACCTCTACCACAAGTGGAGGGAGCTCCAGGGCCTTCTGATAATAGTGGATTGCAAGATGAATCAGCCCCAACTGATGAAGGCCACGGCCCAAATTGTAGAATGATTCCTGGCAGGGCCCACGTAAACTGAGGTATCGATTAAGAAAGGAAAAGCCCTAACCAAAAAGAGAAAGATAATTCAATATTTCACTGATTTGACAACGACGTACTAGACCACTGCATTACCAGGTGCTGAAAATACAAATATTTTTAAAAAACATATCTGCTTAGTGTCCTATTACTGTGTAGTATTACGGTATAGTTAGGTGTCAACATTATAGCTCTTTTGAAGATGTAAGAATTTTTTTTAGCCAGGGATAAATATTCACAGAAAACAAAGCCAAACGTTACAACTAGCTACCAGAGATTCATAATCTACAAGTACACAAAACTTTTAAAAAATAATTTCAAGTTGGCTTGTGCTGTTATAGGCCAATAAACTTTTTGATGTGAGATTGATGCCTAAAAGCTTGAGCAAGATATAAAATAATGATAATGTACAAAGGTTTCCTCTCAGGAGCAAATTCACTTGAGTATACTTAACATTTTAGGGTAAATTTTACCTTTTATAAGTTACTTCTCAGGACTTTAATAACCTCTTAACCTAAAAAACTGGATTTTTTTCTCCTGAAAGCTTCTGAGTCAAAGATTTATGGAGAAACTATTTCAGAGCACAGCTACAATGACGCTGACTCCCTGTGGGTCACACAGTCCAAAAAACAACTTGTTTCTTTACCTCTTCTCATATTCACTTTCTCTTTTAATACAGCTTCCGCTTTTATCATCCACTGAAATTACAAATTGCAAAGGTCCAAGAGTCCTAACTGAGTAATCAAATATATGACCAGATAATTAAGAATAAATCAACTAATTTATGAATATAGAATATAAAATGTATTCTCTAGATGATCTGCTATATAGTTAAGTGGTCACAAATTTTCCTTTATAAATAGGTAAATAATAAAAATGAATTATTTAGGGGTAGTAATACTCGTGGTCAGTATACAAATCATACTTTCTGCATAATAAAATAACCTATTTGTGTGACTATGACCTCTATTCCACTGAAACACACAGCTCTCTTAAGTACCAGCAGACTATTTGACTGTTAATTGCAAAGAAATATCAAGTCTTCATAGTTAAAAATGACAAGACAAATTTAAAGACAAAAATATGAGGAAAAAAGGAATAGGAATCTCAGATGAATTGTTGTAATGCAAATGAACCTCTAGGTCCTCTAATACAATAATGGAATTACTTGCTGCTCTTTAAGAAATGTTTAACAAATTCAAGGGGATAATCTGAAAGACTATTCAAATAATATTTAGTGATTTTAAAAACTAGACAATGTGGGCAACCACTTTATTTTATAGATACGGTGAATTATCAAATTTAAAAACTGCAAAACAAATTCTATTGTTCTATTCTGTTCTGTTCTCCCAGATGGAGTCTTGCTCTATCACACAGGAGTGCAGTGGTGCGATCTCAGCTCACTACAACCTCCACCTCCTGGGTTCAAGTGATTCTCCTGCCTGACCCTCCTGAGTAGCTGGGATTACAGGCACACGCCACCACACCTGGCTCATTTTTGTATTTTTAGTAGAGACCAAGTTTCACCATATTGGCCAGGCTGGTCTCAAACTCCTGACCACAAATGATCCACCCACCTCGGCCACCCAAAGTGCAGGGATTACAGGTGTAAGCCACCGTGCCCAGCCAAAAACACAGTTTAAATGGAAAAGAAAAGAGTTATTTTGACATTATGTTACATTTCCAACATTTTGTTATATTTCAAACATTTAAATCAAATTAATCACTAAAGGGCCCAATGTACTTACTGTCTATATAATATTAAATAAAGGTAGAAGTGAGGAAACATGAATGATTTTACTTTTAATACAATATAAAGGTAAGAAAGATAATAAACCATAAAAAAATTTTTTTTTAGGTAGTGTAACAGAAAACTATAGTCTTGTAGCAGGAAGAAAGAAAAATAAGAGAACAGTTTCAGAAACGACGCTATTTACAATAAAATCTGCTTCTCAGAAATTTTTATGGAAAATGTTTAACATACACAAAAGAGATTAGTCCAATGAACTTCCATATACTCATTACCTCTTGTTTCATCTCTACCACCAACCATTTGAAACCTATTTAACTATAGAAGTAATTTGAAATTTAGCTTCCATATTACCTTGAAGTACATGAATTTTTGTCCTATAAAGCCCAAAAACTACATATTTTACATATTTAATGAGTTAATCCATAAGATTTTCCTATCAATTTTTGCCAGAATTTTATGAGGGCAAGAAATTCCACCTGTGTACTTACTCACTGCTATGTCCCCAGTTCCTGGCACAGAATGAGCGCTCACTACATTTATACACAATCCTACATTACTTAATACAGCAAATAGTATCCAATAAGGAAGAAAAAGAAGCTTTGAGGAAAAGGTAGATAGAATATAAAAAAGGAAAAATTTAGAAGTTTCTGTTTTTCAGGTTTTTTAAAAAACTTATTATAGAAATTTTCAAATATACAACAGTAAAGAGACCACCTTAATGAACCCATACCTAGTTTCGACTGTCATCACCGTTTTAATGCAGGCTTTATTTTAACCATTTTACTGTAAAAGAAACAAAAGCCCCTTACTAGACCCTGCAACTCCATTCGAGTCAACATTTTCTTTCCTTTCTCACCTATTTAATAAAAGACATGTCTATACCATATCATATTTTGGAAACATCAAACATACAAAAATGAAATCATAGAAATGTAAGTGCTGAAGGCAGAGTAGTGAACAAGACAGACAAGATATCTGATCTCTTGGACTTTATACTCTTATTAGAAGAGACATGCTATTAAAGTAGATAACACAAAACATAATTTGAAATTATGATAAGAACCACAAAGAAAATTTTAAAAGAACAATTTGTTGGTGATGGTGTAAGGAAACAGGCACAATCATATTACTGGATGTATAATTATTTTGTTTAAACTACTTTAAGTGAATCTTCAGTACCTAAGATGGCTAGAGACCTTGAGACACCAGACATACGGAAGCCTGCCAGTGCATTCCTCCAGATTCTGCCTGTGTCTTTGTCCCTAAAGATCTGGCTGTGTACCTTTACTATATCGCCGTAGTAAGTCTTAACCATGAGTATAACTATGCGCTGAGTGCTGAACACTGGGGTAAGTGTTGGGGACTCCCGTCATGTGTACTGAGCATTGTGTATTACTTTCGAAGCAGGATTTTAAAAAAAAGTATTAAGTATATTCATTTTTAAAAACAAATCAAGTAACGAGAAATTTGAATGAATTACCTGTACAATAAGAGCATGTCTCCGTAACACATACTTCTGAGATGCCATATGAATAAAGGTCAGGCCTATACAGAGGCTATAGAGAGGTTCATCAGGGTGAGTGCGAAAGGCTTGCACATACTGTCCTGGAAAACGAGCAGTGGTGTCAGACGGTGTGACAAGAACAGAGTTCTTTATTTCTTCAACGCTTTTAAGGCTAAACAAACATTACTGATTTTAACATACATAAGGTGGACATTCTAAAATATCAGCCAGAGACCTATTAATCTGAATTTTAAAACAATGTATAAAATATAATTAGAACAAGTTCCCCATGAATGTATGCTGACCATGAAGATTAATATGAGGAACTAAATTAACTTTTTCTAGGCACAGCTAGACATTTCCATGTAAAGTAATACTTCCAAAATAAACAATTTATCAGCTGCAGTCATTAAATCTATTTTATAACCTTAAATCTATTTTGAAAATAGAGGATGTGTGTTTTGGGGAACATTTTCGTAGAATCAGTTGATCTGTTTTATAAATTCAAATGTGGTGGATCATGGAGGTGAGAAGAGGAAAGCTTTGCTTTGTTTTTTAGACTACGGGTGTTGTTTCCCCAAATGTAGCAACTATTTTGTTTTTTCTGAAAAAGCTAAATGTATCCAATAACAGAATAAGAATTTGGGGTTTTATGAATTACATGTATTCCATATATACAATCATCTCTTGTCAAAAGCCTAATCATATGCAGTAGGGGAATTTAAGCAAGTTTTTCTCATAAAGGAATAACATATAGTGTATCACATATAGATGAAAATTTCTATTCCTTCTGGCTTCTATTCTGGAAGGAACGGCACCACAGAATCTCTTAGGCAGCAAAGATGGTACACTGCCGTTTGTCTGTGATTTTAACCTTTTGTAAAAGTTTCTAATATAGGAAAATAAAATATTTATATTTTCTTAATATAAAACAATTCCACAAAGCACACACAAAAGAGGAATGTTTCAACATCTGATGTTTGAGTTTACTGGATGAACAATGATAAAAATACTGGCCATACACAAGGAATCATGAAAGTATTAAATAGCCAAAAACCATAGTTTACTCATAAGAAGTAAATCTGGCAACACCAGCTTTTAGGCAGTCAGACATGCCTGCCTAATTTTAAGTTTAAACATTTAGTTATTTTTCCACTTGTTTGCTTCTTTTTTTTTAAAGGAGACTCTGCAAGTAATACTTGTTTACTTCTGATTCCTTATTACAGAAATTCCTTATTATAAATGACTAATGAAGTTTCCTTGAGTTTAATTAGAATTAGTAAGCACTACATAAATAAACCTTAATATAGACTTATCTCCTAAAGGAATGAACTTTCAGCAAATCTTGAATACGTTTTGCATATAGCAAATTAAAATCAGGTGACAAAAGCATCCATAATTAACAAAAATCATTTTAAAAATAAATAGGCCTAAGAAGGGAGAATTGACCTTTAAAATGAATTTTATAAGACCTATATCAGCCTTTTACAACCAAAGCTTAATAATAATAACAAATATTAATATTAGTAATTATTATCATTTTTGCTACTATATCCACTTACTATATGTGCCAGGCACTGTTTTAAGTTCTTTATATTGACTCTTTTAATTTTCACAATAATCTACAAAGTAGGTCCAATTATTATCTCCATTTTAAAGATAAAGAAACTGAGACAAGAGGAGGTAGAATAATTTGTCGCAGTGGGGCTGCTAATTAACCCAGACAGTTCCACTCCAGAGGCTAGGCTCTTCACCACACTATGCGCTACAAAGTCACGTGCCAGGACACTTACCAAGCGCATGCTTAAAACTACCAGATACAAATGCATTGTGTCCATTTAAGACACACAGGGCATGATTTTCTGGGTTTTTCAGCATCAAACGGAGACAGAAGCGATGATGTCGTACATCTTGGGAGTGCATGGTAACTTGATTGAAAATGTTCCAGAGCTGGGGTTTATTGACATTTTCCATTACCATTATCCTAAAATTGCAGGAAGAGGGTAAGGGAGAAAATAATGTAAAAATCTTCCTGATTTCTAAAAATGAAACCCTTCAGTGCTGTCCTACCAGCACTGAAATGTACCATCCTCTAACAAGGAAAAGCAGACAGTTTCAATCTATTTAAAGCAAAACTCTCCTACGCAATAAAAGATTTTTCCCAGAAAATGTTGCTTTAGTGTTTCTACATCTTATTTCTACTTTCAACAAAACTTTTAAACTAAAACAGAAGCAAGTGGTTTAGGTTTCACTTTTTCTCTCCTTGCCCACTATAGCTGCAGTACTGAATAATAACTCATAATGATATTTGTCAGGCATTGGCCGGGCACGGTGGCTCACACCTGTAATCCCAGCACTTTGGGAGGCCGAGGCGGGTGGATCACCTGAGATCAGGAGTTCGAGACCAGCCTGACTAACATGGAGAAACGCCGTCTCTACTAAAAATACAAAATTAGCTGGGCCTGGTGGCACACGCCTGTAATCCCAGCTACTTGGGAGGCTGAGGCAGAAGAATCGCTTGAACCCAGAAGGCAGAGGTTGCAGTGAGCCAAGACCATGCCACTGCACTCCAGCCTGGGCAACAGGACTGAAACTCCATCTCAAAAAGAATAATAATAATAATAATGATAATATTTGCCAAGCATTGTTAGAAGGCATAACAACTCCTTTAACCTTCATCATAACCCTATGAGATGGTAGTATTATGATAACCTTTTATAAGTGGGAAGACTGTGGCACTAGAGATTACCTAACTAGCCTAAGGTCACGTAGCCAGTAGGCATCAGGGCTGGGATTTGAACCCAGAAAGTCTGGTCCTAGAGTGCATCTTCTCATATACTGCCTCTGAGAATCACCAATGAACTGAATTAACCAGTTTATTAATAGGACAGCCAAAAGTAAAGTAGCTTCTAAATCAAAGTACATTTACTTACTCTATTAAAGAATCTAACTAAAATAAATAACTGGGAAGTCACCTGATATAGTTGTATGCCTTTCTGAAATTTTTGTCCAGAATTGCAGCAGACAGACCAAAGTATTCTAGTTCTTTGCGTTTTTGCCTGTCATCATAAAATGAGTAATATTCCAATGAGGAATCTACAAGCAACTCAGCCTCTTGAAATCGGGATAGGTCACATAAGGAGTATATGGCCTTCAACAGAAGATTCCACCAGTCATCCTTTGTCAAGACGCTTGTAAGCACAGCAAATATTGCTAAAATGAGACCAATGAAAACCAGTTACGACACTGCATTTCCAGAAATAGCAGTATTAGAAAAATTCACATAATCAATTTTAAGATAAGCTTAATAACCATGAGCCTAAATTGTTGCCAGTGCTCTCTGGACAAAGATGAGAAAGGGTGGTTGCTTACACTCCTTCAATACTACCTCTTTCCACTCTGCCAGTTTAACCACCTGCATTCCCAGGCATCTGATTCGGACTTGTTCTCTACGGTTCCAGCTAGTTCCATCTGCATTTCTCCATGCTAGCTAGGATATATCTCCTCCAGGGTAGAACAAGTGTACTTTCTATGACTGCAGTCCCATAGAGAAGTGGTCCCAACCTTTTTGGCACCAAGGACCAGTTTCATGCAAGGCAATTTTTCCATGGACCAGGGATGAGAAGGAGGGTTTCAGGATAATTCAAGCACATTACATTTATTATGCACTTTATTTCCATTATTATGTTGTAATATATAATGAAATAATTGTACAACTCACCATAATGTAGAATCAGTGGGAGCCCTGAGGTTGTTTTCCTGCAACTAGACAGTCCCATCTGGGGGTGGTGGGAGACAGTGACAGATCATCACGCATTCAAATTCTCATAAGGAGCATGCAACCTAGATCCCCCGCATGGGCAGTTTACAAGAGGGTTTGCGCTCCTATGAGAATCTAACACTGCTGCTGATCTGACAGGAGGGGAAGCTCAGGTGGGAATGTTCGCTTGCCCACCCACTACTAACCTCCTGCTGCGCGACCCAGTCCCTAGCAGACCACGGACTGGTACCAGGGTTGGGGACCCCAGTGATAGAGGATTACATACATACGGGCATTCAAATGTTTGCTTAGCAAAAGACTTCAAATTCATACTTTGAGATTCAAGTTGTTGTTATCTTTTTCTGATCTCAATTTTCTCTGCCTTAAAATGTCTCTTTAACAACCTCCTTCTCTTCCTTAGTTGTCTGTAAAAAGCCTCCCTTTTATAGCCCTTAAGAAATATCAAAAGCCATAAAAAATTTTACTCTCTTTGATCCAATAATTTTCCTTCTGAGAATCCATCCTAAACAATCAAAATATGGACAAATCTGTATCTATGAAAATGCTCACTACATTACTGCTTATAAAAGAAAATTGTCAAAAGTGATCATATGCCAAAAAATAAGAAAATGATTAAATAAATTATGGAACCACTATCCAATGGAATATTACACAATCCTTAAATATAATAACCGAAGAGAACAGAGCAAGATGATGAAATGTCTATCCTGGTACACCAGTGTAATGTGATCCTCACCATGATAAAATTTACAAAACAAAACAAAACCTTATGAGCCTACGAAAAACTAACCATGGACCTCCAGTGAGGAATCACTGAAAGAAAACAGGGAGATAGATCACACAGAGAGAAAAATACAACATAAGAAAACATGGTTGAAAACACAAGCTGCAGAGGTAGAAGCTGTCATCTTTTAAAGTTATATTACTTGAGACTAGGTCTCACAGCAACTTATTTTCAGAGTTTCTATGACTATTGCTACATTTGTTAAAAATTATTTCATAGAGAATGGAATATATATAAGTGAGGTCTCTGGACAAATAATCTATACTGTCATCTAATCTACACAAATTTCTTAAAATATATTTTCTTTTTAAAAAGTCAAAGTTTTGTTTTACTTCTTTCACAGGAAGATCCAAGCAGATGCTTTCCTTTGAATTTTTTTAACTTAAAGTATTTACATTTAGCCTTTCCTTTTTAACACTGAATGAGTTTATTACACGTGAGAGATTTAGATTAGAAAATCTCATTTTATTTGAAAAGGGTATTTTCAATTAATTACTTCATGAGTCTTTTTCAATTCAGCCAAATTTTATATAACACAATGCAAATGAAGTTATTACCTTTTGCATCACAATTTGCTGACTCTTGGTCATTGCTGTCTGATATTTTGTCTCTCGATACTTTAATAAGATAGAGATGCCTCTCTCCAGACTTGGAACTGGATATCAAACAAACTTGGGCTCGATTCATTGCTACCTGAATTAAAGATGAAAATTTCAGATTTTTTAAACAATAACTTTTTTGTTTAGAGACAAAGTCTTGTTATGTTGGCTCAGACTGGATTTGAACTCCTAAGCTCAAGCGATCCTCTCACCTCAGCCTCCCAAGTAGCTGGGACCACAGACACACGCCACCATACCCAGCTCTAAATAATAATTTTTTAAAGAAAACCTATGGGTCACAGGTGCCACAAGACTGAAAGCTCCCTCAGTAAGAAAAAAAAAACCAAATTACTACATTAAAAAGCTAAAATTAGAATGAACTGACTTATTTTTTTCTTACCAAAGGAATTTTGGTCACATTCCTCACCTCAGAAAGAAAAAAGGCAATTCACATTAACATTATAACATGTATACACACACATCCCCAGAGACACACCCATAGAGCTACCTCCCTGCAAATAAGCCAGACTCAGAAAGAATATTAGATCTGGAAAATACTTTTGCAAAGTGAGTAATTTTGGCACATAGTTCTGTCTACAGGGCCAATATCTGATAGTCCTATAGTGCTCACTTTTCTAAATATGTACTAGGGAAGATTTTCACTTAAGCTACTGTCAAGAACTTTCAGTCATATACCAATAATCTCTAGCTTTTTTTTATCTTTCACTTTAAAAAGTTTGAGTTTAATGAAGTAAAACAATTATCAAATAGTATAAGCTATGTTTAAATGAAATACTAAACATTTTAAAAGTCAACAAGGCTAACATGAAGAAAGATCATTACCCACCTTTAAAAGCATGGCTAACATAGTAAGTAAGGTATCCACATAACCATACATTTTGCCTTGTGAAAACAATAGAGTAGAACGATGAAGCAATAACTTCAGTTCCTAAACAAATAAGCACATGATGATGAGCCTAACAAGATTCCTTTTCTATAAATTGTTTTATTTGCATAGAAACATTTTTAAAAACCAAACTTTAAAAACATTTGCTTTATGGTCTTTCACAATAATTAAGAGCCAATATTTTAAAAACTGTAATTTGTAATAAGTGGCTGAAACCTAATACTTAAAATCATTTTTCAAAAACATTGAATTTAATAGACTAAAATAAAATTTTGGATATAAGCTGTAGAGACATCCTTAACTGAGGAGAAAGTTCTAAAATATAATGTACCACGAAAAACTTCCCTCTATGTGACATGGCCCACCTGCTGTGCAGCATTTGCATCCTGTGCTAAAGTATCTGGATCATACATTGGTTCCAGAGCTTCCAGGGCTTTCTCAGGCCGGCCCAGCTGCTGCTGAAGGGTAGAAAGTGAAATCCTTGCATCCAAATGGAGTGGGGCCAGATCAACCACCTTGCCATAGCTTTCGGCAGCTCGCTCCATATAGCCTAAGGCCTTTAAACATTCTAAGATGATGTTAAAATAAAGCATAAGTATGAACTACAGATTTGTAAACTGGCCAAAATTACTTTCCATTTTAAAAGAAATACAGCAATGTAAAAAATTATAACAAGAAATGAATGCGTATTTCTAGTACTTTAAAACTATCCCTAATCTCTATTAATCAGTCGATCTCTCATAAATTTAAATTGCTAAGGAATAATCAGTGTATACGTATAATTTAGGGTTCTGCTTTATTCATTGAGCATTATATTTTAAACACTGTCTTCACTGGCATCTTGAATGGTTACATAGTAATCAGATTGATTATTTAATTATATTATTTGCCATTTAGGTTGTTTCTAAACTTTAATAATACTACAGTAAACATCTTCATATATATAAACCAGAGCGCACAACTGGCAGACCAGTGTAACCCACAGGTATGTTTTATTAGCCCATTTTACTTTAAAATAATAATTTCATTATTATTAGATGATGACCATCACCTTTAGGTTAAATTTTGATAATAAAGGAAGAACACTAATATGGATGGATCATCACAGTGACATTTCTTACATTTTCTCATTTTTCACTTTAAAAACATTTTGTTATTTTGTTATGTTACAAGCACTGAATTCCTCTAATTATCTTTCTTATATACTGATCCCAAATTTCTTTACGATTTTTAGATGACTGAGATTTTACCTTTCATTCATCTCAAGCCAGATGGGCTCAAAATGGAAACAGCATTTATCAGAATCATGACTAAATATGATGTTTAAAGTACATACTATTAGTAACACAGGAGCAGTTTCAATATCACAGCCCTAATTAGAAAGGCAATAAAAACTCAAATATCCTGCTCATGTCTTTAAAATTCAAATTTCACAAATAATGCAACTTTTCATGATGGTATTACATTTGTATTCATATTCATTCATCTAAACGGAAAAGTGTTATCTTAATCATTAATTGCTCTCTTTCCTAGTTCATATCTATGATGTGAGTGCACTACTGACCCAAAATGCCAATCAATGCTTCTCTAGTTATAGAGAACTTTCTGTCATCATATAATACTTAAGAGCCATTAGAATTTTCTGCCATCACACAGTATTTGAAACCAAAACTATTCGATTTTTAAAGCGTCTTTTATGTTGACTCCATAAGAAATCCTATTAGAATACTTTTTGCTTTCATGTAAGAGCCATTAGAGTTTTCTGCCATCACACAGTATTTGGAACCAAGACTATTCGATTTTTAATGCGTCTTTTATGTTAACTCAATAAGAAATCCTATTAGAATACTTTTTGCTTTCATGTATTTCTTCAAAAGATTTAGTCATGTTTCTTAAGCTATTTTTTCCAGTCTAAATGATTCACTTCAGATTACTATGGACTTAGGCACAGTGTAATAAATGGCTGATAAAACCCAATTTTAAGCATGTATGGCTCAAAGAGCATTGAAAAATATATTAATTTTTCCCAAAATAACATATTAAATCTATAAAAACTCTTCAAAATTAGATTTTGCCCCAAGTCTGATAATCCTTTACTAGAAACCAGAGCCTATGGTTCAGACAGGTTCAAGACAGGCATTTAAGGGAAATGAGTCCTTCTACTTCACTCTGGCATCATTAAGTAAATCGTTCCTCCAAAGCGTTAGTGATGGGGAAATCACTGAGTAGCCTAGCAAGACAATTTAAAACACTGACTTTCAAAAAACTCCCCTGAAACCAGAAATACTTGCACTATAATAATTATTACCATCTTGGGAAAGTAAGTTCTTGGCTGCTTATATGATTAAAACTTCTTCCTCCCACAAAAAAGTGTTACCTGCATGACGAAGCCAAACTACTGCAAGGTTGTATCTTTCAGAGCAAACAAGAGCACTGAGGAGGGGAAGTGCAGAATTATATTCACCAACATCCAGAAAAGCTTCAGCAACATCTAGGTATAGGTCTCCCATATCTTCAGGATTCTGTTCTACTAGTGTTGTCAAGAGAGGCTAGACCACAAATAAAAGCCTGAAGTTAAACATTCATTACAAACGTGCACATCTATCTATAGGTTTTTTTCTCTTTTTTTTTTGAGACAAAGTCTCTCCCTGTCACCCACGCTGGAGTGCAGTGGCACAATCTCGGCTCACTACAACCTCTGCTTGCTGGGTTCAAGTGATTCTCGTGCCTTAGCTTCCTGAGTAGCTGGGATCACAGGTGCATACCACCAAGCCCAGCTAATTTTTGTATGTTTAGTAGAGACAAGGTTTCACCATGTTGGCCAGGCTAGTCTCAAACTCCTGGCCTTAAGTGATCTATCTGCCTCGGCCTCCCAAAGTCTATAGCTGTCTTTTTAAACTACGTATCAATTATATGAGGCAAGCTGAAAAGGAGCAGGGCTTAATAAAACCAGCTTTATATGATCAATTTTCTGTTCACTTCTGCATCTTTATTTTAAATAACTCATACCCATTGAACACATTTTGTGGATCTGTTTAAAGACAGGCATTGCGGGAACTAAGACACAGCTAATCTGTTTTGCTCTTCCTCTAACCAGCACAACATCCTGTGCCTCAGGGCTTCTGTGTCTGCTGATGTTTTTGGAAAGCTGTTTCCTTAGATATCCCCATGGTTTACTTCCTCACTTTCTTCAGGTCATTATTCAAATGTCACCTTTTTTTTTTTTTTTTTTTTTTTTTGAGACAGGGTCTGCAATCTCTACCTCCTGGGCTCAAGCAATCCTCCCACCTCACCTCCCAAGTAGGTGGCACTACAGGTGTGTGCGCCACCACACCCAGCTAAATTTTTTGTATTTTTTGTAGACATAGGGTTTCACCATGTTGCCCAGGCTGGTCTTGAACTCCTGAGCTCAAAAGATCCGCCCGCCTCAGCCTCCCAGTGCTTGGATTTTAAGTGTGCACCATGGTGCCCTGCCAAATGTCACCTCATCCCCTATTGAAAACTGCAACTTTTCCCTGCCCCCAATATTCCTTATTTTCCTCCTTTTTTTCCAGAACACTTATCACCAGCCAATGTCTTATATATGTTATTTATTTGTTTTATTATCGAATTCCATTAAAACAAAAAAGCATCCCAACCCATGAGGGTATGGATTTGTATATTTTACTCAATACCTTATCCTAAGGTTTACAAAGTAGATGCTAAGTACTTTTTTTTTTTCAATAATATACTTGGTCCAAAGTCAGCAAAAAAGAATAGCTGTCAGAATTATTACCAATTGTCTAATTGTCTAATGACAATCTCAAATTGTCTAAAGACAATCTCAAATTATGATCTTTAGATTGTTATTTTAAAAGAAAAATAAATTACTGTAAGCCCAATTGCAAAACAATTTTAGTTTTCATAATGTATTCATACAAAATTATTTGATGCCTACTGTTACCTCCCTGGTTATTAAGAAATGTGAAACTCTAGGGTCAAGTTATAATTTCTTGACATCTAAAGAAAACAGATGGTGCATTTGATCTGAAGTATCTCAAGTGCAGATCTTGTTACATACGTTAAGTGGTTCAAGAATGTTGAGATGTACAAGGCAGACCATCAACTTCACTGTGATATCTATTGGCACGCCATCAGGTATAGTGCAGGTGACATTCTCAGGAGCTGGGGAATACACAGACAAGAAGCAGTTCCTATATGCAAGCTTAAGATGTGTATCTTCTATGTAAGGCCTCATTTATTTCAATCAAAGCAAACGATTCTACAGTCAATTCTTAGTGTGGTCAACTCTTCTAATAAGTTCTTATATCTCTCTGAGTCTGTCCTTTGGTAGCAAGTATGCTTCCTATTCTATTTCTAACACCTTATGTACTTATGTGAAACTTACTTTCACACCTTCTACTAAAACTACAGAGAACTAAAATGACAAAAATAATGAGGATATATGAACCCTCTCTTTTTTTTTTCTTGAAAAGTCTGTTTTTAGTGTTCACTAGAAACAGGCTAAGAAAAGGATAAAATAATACTGTGTTATTTTCTAAAACCTCATTACAGCAAAATAATTTTTAAAGCCCTAGGAAATTAAAGGAATGTTTATCCACATTTAAAGTATTTTGCAAAGTCTAATAAATTCCAAATAAGTTTACATGTTTTTGCTTCAGAAAAACCTGAAGTATAAAGCACATTACAGATGTAGCGTAAGTGGTGAAATAAAAAATTACTTCAAGAATTAAATAACTGTATCTGTTTTACAGAACTTGTCATATAAATTATAGTACAGCCAGTCTTCCATATCTTCAGGTTCCACATATGCAGATTCAACCAACTGCAGATCAAAAATGTTAAGGGAAAAAATATATATATATATAATATATGTGTATACATATAATGTGTATATATATATCATTAAATACAAACTTAAAAAGCAATATAGTATAACAGCTATTTACATAGCATTTACATGTATTAAGTATTAGGTTGGTGCAAAAGTAATTGTGGTTTTTGCCATTAATAAGTAATCTAGAGATGATTTAAAGTATACAGAAGAAGATACATAGGTTATATGCAAATAATACACTATTTTATATAAGGAATTTGAGTATCCAAGGATTTTGGTATGAGGGGTGTCCTGGAGCCAATCTCTCATGAACACTGAGGGGAGGCAATATAGATTGCCTAAAATTGCCAAGTTATAGGAGGATTTGGACAAGTTTAATTAAGAGACTGTTTTTATCACTGAGTTCTAGGACAATAACTAGTATCAGCAATCCAGTTGAGATATTTAGTCTGCTCAATGAGAGAGCAGAATTTACCTACCATGTAAATTTACTCACACTAAGCCCTGAGCTCCATGAGGACAAGAACCATGTCTGACTCAAGGCTGTATCCACAACATATTTCTTCTGTAGACAGTAGCTAAGGTCACCTGTCTAAGGACTAAACACAATGCAGTCATTTTAATGAGCCTCTGACTTTACTAAAATGGGATTCTATCTTTATCATGTATGGGTTCTATATTCCAACTGTATCACTTTGATTTTCTTTCTAGAAATGCTGTTTGCTAACAGTCTGAAATGCTGGTGTCCCACCAAAATACCTGTGTTGAAACCTAACCCCCAAGGTGAAGTTATTAAGAGGTGGGTTTTTGGGAGGTGACTATGTGGGTGGGATTAGTGCCTTTGTAAAAGAGGTCTGAAGAAGCTTGTTTGTCCTGTTTGCCACGTGAGGACACAGCAAGAAGGCACCATCTATGAAAAAAGGGCCCTCACCAGACACTAAATCTGCTGGTGCCTTGGGCTTCCCAATCTCCAGGACTGTGAGCAATAAATTTCTGTTGTTTATACATTACCCAGTCTAAGGTCTTTTGTTATAGAAGTCCAAACAGACTAAGATACTGTTCAATAAATATATTTACGTGTTTTAACTTTCAGCAAGAAAAGTATATGAAATACTTTAAATCTCAGCATAGGCCTTAAAGATATAGTGTGTATAGATGCATAAGTCTAAACCCTGCTTTCCTATCAAATCAGAAAGTAAAACTCAACCTTATGTTGAATACAAGATGTGTGCCTAAAATCAAGTGATTCAAGAAAGCTGAAAATGAAAGGACAAAGGTATAGCAGGCAGGTGCAAACAAAAAAAACAGGTGTCACAATCTCAATATGAGACAATGTAGAATTCAGACCAACTATATTTAAAAAGGTAAGAAGGTCACTTAATAATGCTACAGGGCAGTGCTACTCAAACTATAGTCTGGGACCTGTGCAGGTACACAAACTGTTAACAGTTCAAACAGGTAAGTATGGAGATTGAGAGTAAGTATTTAGACACTTTAATGGCAATTTGACAATGCTAAGGAAAGTAGTATATATATTTATAGCCCCTACAGCTTATATATTATTAACTAACATTTAACAACACCATCTTTTAAAAAGCTTGTCTTTGTGTCACTGATACTTTGTTTTCCAGAACTCCCATTAGGTCTTTCATATTTAGAAGAATTTAAAAATGTGACCATCAACAGAAAATGCATAATCTACCAATAAACAGTCTCCTTTTTAAAAATGCATACTAAAAAACTACCTTTGCTCACTTTGGGGGATTTGTTTTAATTTCCTAGTCTTCTGGACATATCTTTTTCTTTAAAGTTATTTCATCAACTCTAAGCTGCCAGATTTCAGATGCACCATTATTTTACATACTAAAAAACAAAGAAGCCACTACTTAAACTCTAACTTGTTGTTGATTTATGTTAATATGTACCAGGAAGGAAGGAAGGGAGGGAGGAAAGTAAAATATATTAAACAACAAAATGATTATAGCGACAGTTAAAACTTGAACAGAACTTGATATTTCTCTAATATTTTTCAAAACAAAGCACAGATTTTCAACACAATTAAGAAAAATCTTAAACAGAAATTATGGCAGTAAAATAATAACTTAATTGGGCCTTGGCTTGTACCTAGGCCAGGTCCTAATAAAGTATCGAAACTGGCAAAGCCTCCTTCGCGTGCCCTAATCCATGCTTCCATCTGCAATTTCTACTCCTTATTCTACTCATTCACACCACCCTGATGATCAACAGCCCCAACCACAGACTGCGATCTGGTCCTGCTCTTCCAAGCAGAGCTCCTACACCCTGTGACTCAGTCTGGATCACACTCTCCATGGGTATCTGCTTAAACTGGGCCTCTATAAACATCTTCTGATCCTTGTACACTGCCCTCTATTTTTCCATAACATCAACTTTGCTACAGAAATTATCACACAACTCTTAAACTGTATGCACTTCATCTGAACGCCTCTTCACCCCTCCATTTCCTTGAGAACAGGAAATGTCATACTCATCTGTGTATTCTCCACACACCCAGCAGTCCCTTACAAGAAACTTATTGAACTGGGTTTCCCTTCCCCAACAACTGTCCACTTTAACATTTATCTGTCCCACATCTCACCTTGGGCCTTACTCTCTATGAATTAGCACAGACTGGCTTGTGTAAGTGAATTACTACTCGCCATTAGGATGGATCATATTTTAAATAACAGTTTTTGTTTTTGAATAATTATGCCTTAGCGCAAAGGATTACATAATGACGGATTTTTAGGCATGATGACAGGCCAGGGAGAGAGCTGTTTTGAACCAGGCAGGACCCAGTACCAGCTCACTTGCCCCTTCCGCAGATTCCATCAAAATCCTCACAGGGTAGGGGTTGAAGGTACTATACAGTAATTCTCTTACAAGAGCTGGGTTATATATTCTGCTCATAGAGATCAGTTTTGCTACAACTTGATATAGGGTCTTGAATGTTAGTATTTTTACAGAATAAGTTAATGAGTATGGTACAAAGAGACTCTGCAAGCCACACTTAGGTATAACTTTCTAACCCAATCATTAATTACACATTTGAGTTTTCTAACAATGTAGGGTAATCATATTAGCTTCTAATTATTATATGAATGCTTAAGCTTAAAGTAGAATGTTTTAAATAAGAGCATTTTAGGTCCTATTTGAAAATAAAATTGCTTCAGTGCTAAAGGTTTTTGATAAACTTTAGTAATTCGTTTTCTTTCCTATAAAAATGAATGAAAAGGACTGTCAATGAAAAATGCCATGTTCAAATGGACATACTAAGAAATAAAAGGGACTCAAAACAAATTTTTTTAAAGATTACTTGCAAGTCAATACTCACAAGATATGAAATCTCTCAGAAAAAAATTCTTCTTGGGAAAACTTATTATGAGAACATTAACTATCAACTCACCACAGTATGAAATAAATTTTCACCATAAAACGCCACCTTATGACCAAGAGAGGATTATATACACTTTCCTAAGCAGAGGAAACTACAACCTTTATTCTCTTCTGAGGTGCCTTCTTCTGAAGTTTTTTTTTCCAGCACAATTCCAGAAAAATCTGTAATTACCTAAAAGAATGGGACAGAAGAAAGGAAATAGTTATGTATGAAAAACCTTTTCATGATGCGAAGATTTGTACAGTTATTTCAAATAATCCTGAATATAAAGATGGGCTATAAAAAGAAACTAAGTCTTTTAAAAATGAGAAACCCTGTGACACATTAACATTTTAATATCCTATTAACTAATGCAAACTCAATGTATATAACTTCTCTATATCAAACCAACCTACTTTCCCCCAACCAGCTTAAGAACCAAATCACAGCAATTCATCTGACTGTTGAGTCCTACTACCCTGAAGTACAGACATACTTAGCACCTGTGATAATGGCAATATTTTTTATTATGTAACTATACTTCATATTTCATATTGAATTGCTATAGAATCTAGAAATCACTTGTTTCCATATGGAGTTTAAATATATACATAATTTAATATATAACTAAAACGAAGAACTGCCAATTTTTAAGAATTTCTAGAACACAGAAACATGTTCAAAACCTAACAGAGAAACACATAAGCATTCCTACCTCCAAAGCTTTGTCATACTGTTTGTTAGAAATATATAGTTCAGCTGCTATGTTAACATCTTCCATAGAGACTAGGCCCTGGTGTTTTGAGAAAGCTTCATCAATTATGTTAATAGCAGAAGTAACATCATTGGCTTCATAGTAACTCCTAAAAAAAAAGTGGCAAAATGGATGAATATTTACTTAATTCCAATTATAAAACTCATTTCTTTGCTTAGGCTATCTAACAATGAACAGTGATTTTCATTTTCTTAGAATTTGAGAGGAATGTATATTTCCTTAAAATTATAATCAAAACTGATCCAGAAAAAATGTGCAGTGTCAGTAACAGTGTTATAATTTCAAGCATCTCACTCTCCAAAAGCTACCTCCTATCATTCCAGCTCATTCCCTCTTGTAATCCAATACCAACTCTTCTACCTCGACAGATCTACAAAGCATAGGTCCTACCACTTTTTCACCATCGCCTACACCCTGCCTGGGCTCACTTTCTTCCTTCTCCAAGGCCCAACATTTTAATTACTCCTTTGCATACATCCTCAGTCCTCTTGCCCTGCTCTCCCTTGATCAAAATCATTCAATAACACCCCAAGCCTGGTTAAAATACAACTATATCTACTCTTCACCACCACCTGCCCAGCTGACCATGTCGACTGGTCTCACTCTAAATTGATGACCAATAGCCTCAAGCAGGTCCATGGTACTGATGAGCAGTATTACTAGTTACCTATTCAGTACTTCTCAAACTTGAATGTGCATATGGATCAACTGGCTATCTTGTAAAAATGCATATTCAGATCCAGTAAAGCTGGGGCAGGCCTAGATCCTGCATTTCTGACAAGCTTCCAGGTGATGCAAATACTGCCAGTCTGTGGGGCAGTAATGTCCTAGACAACTATTGACATCTTCTCTCTCTCTTCAAACTGCCAGCAGTCTCCCAGTCCTACTCTCAGTTGATGGTCTTGCTTGATATTTTTACCAAGAAAAGAGAATTAAATCAGAACATCCCACATATTTCCAGCACATCTACCTACCATTCTCTTTTTAACCTAATCCAATCAATTTTTCCTCTCCCCACTCTGCCAATATTTCTAATCTCCTTGTTGCTAAATCTGTCCATTCTCAATGCTCATTTTATGTGATCTATTTGCAGTATCCCACACAGATGATCATCCCTCCTCCTTGAAGTGCTTTCTTCAATTAAATTCTAGAACATCATGCTGTTCTCAGTTTCCTCCTACTTCACTGGCCATTTCCTTTTAGTCTCCCAGCTGTTTCTTCTTCCTGACTTGTAAACATTGAAGTGCCTTAGGGTTCAGTCCTCTACACCCTGTTCACCTCCCCAACCCACCCCTCATATTCAATACATCAGAAAATCTTGAGAGCTCAGCCCTCAAAATACATACATAATCTGATTACTTCGTACCAGTTCCTGCTGCTTACATCCTGGTCCACGTTACCATTTTCCCTTCTATGTATCACTATAATAATTTCCTAACTGGTCTCCATGCTTCTGCCCTTCCACTATCCAATCTGTTCTCAAAAGAGCAGCCAGAATTGATGCACTTAAAATTTAAGTCAGACTATGTCACTTTTCTACTCAGAACCCTCCAGTGACTTCCAAACTCATTCAGAATAAAAGCCAAAGCCCTTACAATAGCCCAAAAGGGCTAAAGATCTATTCCTCTGATATCTCTCTGCACTGCTCCCCTTAATTCTTCAGCTTCCCTAACCATACTTTGTACTTGCTATTTCTTTTACCTGTGATACTCCTTCCCTGAATATCTGTTCTCATACCTACTTCAATGCACCTTTAGTCAGTAGGACCATAAAACAGAGAATTAAGTCCTTCTCTAATCACTCTATCTAAAAATAACACACCCCCACCCCAAACATCAAATTCCTATCCCTTTTTCCTGCTTTATTTTTCTTCATATCACTTATCAACATCTGATGTACTACATATTTAGCTGTTTATTTATTGCCTATCTCTCTCACTGAAATGTAAGCTATATAAGAACAGGGGATTTTTAAACCTTGCTCAACAGTAGATACCCTGGTTTCCTGTACAGTACCTAGTGCCAAAGATATATTCAATAATATTTCTGGAGGGAAAGTAGGGACCAAAGGGAAAGCCTAAACAGAAGTTACAGTGATAGAATTCCATGTAGGAAAGACCTCAATGGCAGTGGCAGAACTGACAATCATCACTCTTTCCCAAAAAAGTATTATATCTAATAGACGTGGAAAACCAATTTACTATCATAGGCCACCTAACATTTCACAAAGTCAAAGGCTACTGGACTAACCACTGTGACAGCTACAGATTTAACTAACAGCAAATAACCTGAGAAGACCCTCAGTGCTCATGGTATTCCATCAGGGATCAACTTAGGGTTGCCTTGCCTCAGCAAAATACCTAGAAATGCTTTCTAGTAGTCCTATGCAACCCATCCCTGGGAGGGTAAGGGACAGTTTCACAGCTAAGCATCATTGTGATAAAGGCTGTGGAATTAATAGGGTCACCCCTAATGTACCCTGATGGAGATGGTTACTCCTAGAACAAAATATCATCTGATATCCCTAGAATAGAAAGCATATCACAAGGCATTACTCAGCAAAAATGTTTCCTACTTTGTTTTGCTGTGCAGCATACCAGAGAAGTAAATGCAGTAGGGTATATTTTAGAATAAAATATATATCACAGTCAATAATCTGCCAACTGTAAAAGAGAATTTTTATAGTCTTAAAATATTATATACTGGCTCAAGATAAAATAATAGAAGATCCCAAACCATTAACATTTCATTGGCAAATCTGCAATAAAAAATACTTTTTTAATTATTGCAAATATACACAATTTCGACTAAGTTTGGAAACCTGAGAACCTACTCATCCTTTTAGGACGTGTCCCATTTTTAAACCTCTGAGCACTTGAAATGTAACCTTATATACACAATTTTTCTAAGCAATGACACAGTTGACTTGGAAACAGAAAAGTACTGAAAATTCGGTACAACCTAAAATACAGGGCTGGGCATGGTGGCTCGTACGTGTAATCCTAGCACTTAGGGAGGCCAAAGAAGAAGAAATGCTTGAGGTCAGGAGTTTGAGACCAGCCTGAACAACACAGCAAGACCTTGTCTCTGCAGAAAAAAAATTAAAAATTAGCCGGGTGTGGTGGCGTGCACCTGTAGTCCCAGCTACTCAGGAGGCTGGCTGACAGGATCACTTGAGCTCAGAAGTTCACGGTTGCAGTGAACTATAAACACGACATTATACTCCAGCCTGGGTGACAGAGCAAGATCCTGTCTCAAAAAACAAAACAATAAAATACATAAGGCAAAACACTTCTTGAACTTCAATGAAAAGTACATTCTATTCCAAATATATGCTTTGATTTGCAAAATAAGATTAACAGCAGCAACTAGATATGTTTCACTCCAAACTTACTTTGCCATATCTCTAGCCAGCTGCATAAAACGTTCGCCATCAGATGGAGACAAAAGGTTTAAAATACGCCTATAACCATCCATGGCCATTTTATGATCACCCATCTGTTCGTAAAGGCTTGATCGCTCCCACAGATAACGGACATTAGTAGGTTCATATTTAAGAGCTAAAAAGAAAGAAATACAAATTATTTACCACAAAAAGGGGTGCATGGTACCTGGGTGTGATCCATCATCATCTCAGAAAATTTAATAAGCAAACTAATTCATCAATGAAACAAAAGGAGTTATTCTGAATAAATGTATTTTCATAGGAACTCTTGACTAGGTTTGATGTAAGACCAGATAGAATCTGAATCTCAACAGTAATCTTCTTCTTAATGTGGTCAATCTAGTCCGATGTTAATCCTCAAGGAACAGCTTAGAACCAACACTGATCTTAGTGGGAAACTGAAGGTACTATTCATCTATCAACTTGTGTTGTATTATCTCACAACACTCAAAAAGTCCCTGACAAACATGAGAACAGAGGAACCCCAAATACCTACCTCTAGAATAACAGACAATAGAAACAAATTTATCTCAGCCAAAATAACACTCCAGAGTAGCAAATACAATGATCAAAAAACCTACTATGTAACATCTTATAAAAGTGAAAAAAAAAAAATTTTAATTACCTTTTGTATAGCAAAAAATAGCCTGTTTAATATTGTCTTGTTCCAGAGACATTTCTGCCAGTCTAACCCATTCTTCTGTGTCACTGGGATTTAAATGTGCAGCAATCAACTCAAACTGCAATGATTTTTCCATGTCACCTTGGTCCTCATATATCATGGCAAGAGTAGAGAATGGCTCATAAGCCAGAGGAGCTATAACAAATTAAAAAAATAAATTCCATTGGCTGAGAGAAGAGGCTTGAGTTGATGTCAATCCCATGGTTCAAACTGTGTGTCTTTTTTTAAATACCTAAACTCTTCAAATCACTCTAGCAGAATTATACAAACTGCTTAAGACAAGTTAAAATAAATGCTAGATTATATCTGCTTTATTTTCATACATTTTTAGCATTTTTAAAGCATTGCTTTTTCTTTTTTTTTTTTTTTTTGAGACGGAGTCTCACTCTGTCGCCCAGGCTGGAGTGCAGTGGCTGGATCTCAGCTCACTGCAAGCTCCGCCTCCCGGGTTTACGCCATTCTCCTGCCTCAGCCTCCCGAGTAGCTGGGACTACAGGCGCCCACCACCTCGCCCGGCTAGTTTTTTGTATTTTTTAGTAGAGACGGGGTTTCACTGTGTTAGCCAGGATGGTCTCGATCTCCTAACCTCGTGATCCGCCCGTCTCGGCCTCCCAAAGTGCTGGGATTACAGGCTTGAGCCACCGCGCCCGGCCAAGCATTGCTTTTTCTAAGCAAGGTATAATTTCATGAAAATCCTAATCTCTACCACATCTTCCTCATGAAAATTCCCCTTTGCTCAGGATAAACATGGCTCGGTATCAGCAAGTTCATCCCAATAAACACCAGCCACATCAGTGGGGCTGAATCTTCATGATTTAGCTCCCACACCAAGGAGTATGGTATGAATGAACAGATGATCCCTAAGCAGCAGCTAAATGGATATCAAAGTGACTGGCTAATCTACATTTCTGAAATACTGTTTCTGAAACAAAATTCAAAGATTATGAGGTATTAAAGTCAACGATTTTTGTCAAAAACAAATATAAACTAAAATAAAGGGAACAAATAATACTGGAAAGTAGGAACCAAATGAAATATACTAAAGGAAAAAGTCTGTTTAATCTTAGGCAGTAGCCTCAAATTACCCTAATGAATAATCCGGGAAATTATAGTAAGACTTTTAAAAGGACCCTAGTCTAACCAAAAAGAAATGCCAAACTATTGAAAAGATGAAAGTTTACTGTATTACAGCTATCCAAACCACTCTGCAGAGCACAATTTGGCAACACATCAAGGAAAGAAAACAATAAATATAAGTAATTAGTTAAAAAAAAAAACACACACTGAAGGTATCATTCAATATGCCCAAGACGCATAATTTAATTGAGAGATAAGATGACAAGTTTAAACTGTCTTTTCACCAAAAAATAGATAACATAATCTAGTTACTGCATGATCTAGAAAACAAAAGGAAAAAAGAAAGCTCTTCAAGTGGTTTTAATATAATGTATTTCCCATACTGACAATTCAAAAGTCTAAATCCTTCAACTGAAACATTAAAAAAAAAAAAAAAAAAGGTAACTGTGAAATTCAACAAATATTAAGGACATCTCATTGAATCATACTCTGAGACTTTCATTTTCTTGTGAAAAGTGGCAATTACCATTACCACAATCACCCTTAAGCTTCTGAACATATTTTCCAAATAGTACTGTGAAGTACTACCCCATTTGTTTTAAGTTAGACTATTAAACTGCTATTATTAATAAAGTCCCCACAGAAAACACCTTGTCTTATGATTTCCATGCACATCAATATCGCTTCTTCACGTTCTCCTCGAGCAAAACGAATGTTGGCTTCACCCATGAGACCTCTCAGAGCTCTGGGAAGTTTACTCCGAGGTCTTTTCTCCTGTATGGAAGAAAAATGACATTTAGATTAAAATATAGTGAAGTCTTAGATTTCACTATATTTTAAAAATTAATTCCAACCATATTAATAAAAATAGAATATAATAAAACTGAAATTTCCCTTTAAAAATTTTCAGTTTTCGAAACTCAGAACTAAATAGTTGCAATTCCAACTGACTCTTTAACATTAAAGTTTATAAAGTCAAAATTGGCCATTCTTGTAATCCCAGCACTTTGGGAGGCTGAAGCAGGTGGATCACTTGAGGCCAGGAGTTCAAGACTGGCCTGGCCAACATAATGAAACCCATCTCTACTGAAAATACAAAAAAATTAGCCAGGCATGGTGGCACATACCCATAATTTCAGCTACTTGGGAGGCTGAGGCATGAGAATCGCTTGAACCTGGGAGGCAGAGGTTACAGTGAGCCAAGATCACACCACTGCATTCCAGCCTGGGTGACAGCTCAAGACTGTCTCATTAAAAAAAAAAAAGTCTAAAACTCAATTGCAGAAAAAAAAGGGTCAGGAGTTACTAAATTACTAATTAGAATAATAACAAATATAGAGCTGGATGCTGCAAAATGGATTTATATTCCAGGATTATGATGTAATCTACTGAAGATCCCCTTTCTTTCAAATTTATCCACTCAAAATGAACTTCTTTAAAAAAGTATCACGTTATAGTATGGACATGGACATATGTTTTAAGACAGAGTCTCACTCTGTTGCCCAGGCTGCAGTGCAGTGGAATGATCTCAGCTCACTGCAACCTCGATTTCCCGGGCTCAAGCATCCTCCCACCTCAACCTCCAGGGTAGCTAAGACCACAGGAGTGCACTGCAACACCTAGCTAGTTTTTTAAAAAGTTTCTTGTAGAGACAGAGCCTCACACTATGTTGCCCAGGCTGATCTTAAACTTCCTTGGCTCAAGCAATCCTCCTGTCTCAGCCTCCTGAACTGCTGCCATTACAGGCATGAGCCACTGTGCCTCACCAGTATGGACCTTTGAATAGCAAACTCGCAGTCCATTTTCACACATGCAATAATTAAGGTTGTGTTTGTGTGTCTGTTAGATTCCACCTTTCTAGCATCTCTTAGAAAATAAATGGTCTGATTGGTTTAAATGAGCCACTTTGCTTTGACTTTATTTATTGTATTGTATTTATTTTTTTGAGACAGGGTCTCGTTCTGACACCTAGGCTGCAGCCTTGACTTCCCCAAGCTCAGGTGCTCCTCCTACCTCAGCCTCCAGAGCAGCTGGGCTACATAAACATTATCTAATAGGAAACATAATAAACAAATAACAACAGTTGTGTCATAGTATTTCCTTTCATATAGTTTGAATTGTTTCCCAGGTCTAACTTACAGACTTCTTTTTCAATTACTATGTCACTTTCTTCATTGTTTATAAATACCAAAATAAGTAACAATTTACTTTCATCATTTTCTTGGTTTCACGATTGAGAACCATCTCCAATACAAAGACATCGCCAGCAGTGGGTTGCTCAGGTGTTTCTTCCTCCTCCTCCTCCTCTTCTTCCTCTTCCTCCTCATCATCTTCATTCTCTCCAAGCATGGAAGCAAAGACCTTGTGAACTGACTTACTCACTCCATCTGATGTTTCTCCTGAGAAAAGAGACATTGATGATGGGGGGAGGGGAGGAAGCTGCAGAATTCTCTGTGAAAAACAAGTACTTTCTAAGTATAAATTTTTACCCCAAGAACACCAAATTTGAAAGTAAAAAATAGTAAATGAACACCCTCAAAAACCAAACCAAAGAAGAAAGTTATCACAAAGCCATGTATTTTATTCTACAGGAATAGCTGACTCATCCTTTAGGCCTCATCCAGATTTATAGGCAAAATTAACCAAAAAATCAGAAGCACATACAATAATAGAGAGGAAAAAAGTTGAAGAATTATAAGACATAGACCTAAGAACTAAACAAGACTAGCAGTATGGAGCCCTGGTGGTATAGCATAGTGGTTGAAAGTGAGGGCTCTAGAGCCAAGCTGCCTGGTTCCAAACTTTATCTCCATCTATCACTAGCTGTGTAACCTAGGGGAAATTACTGAAGCTCCTCTATACCTCAGTTTCTTTTTGCAAATAGGGTTAATAATAATTTATAGGGCTACTCTGAGGACAAAATGAGTGTGAGTGTGTCTGTGTATATATACACTATGAATGCCTAGCATATAGTAAACACCCATTAAATGCTATTATTAGTATTAAAATAGCTTTATTATTTCAGGAATAAAATACATGACATAGTTCATTTGTATCTCAGGATACCACCATAGTATAATATAATGATTTTTGAGTGTCAATAATGATGACTTTGAATGATCAAGAAAAAGTTAAATTCAGAGGCCAATTTTCTGTTAAAGCAGAGGCATTGCTATGGTTTGAATATCTGTCCCCTCCAAGTCTCATATTGAAATTTAATCCCCAATGTGCCAATACTGAGACATCTTTAAGAGGGGGCCTTTAAGAGGGACTGGGTCATGGGGCTCCACTCTCATGAATGGATTAATCCATTCATGATTTAATGGGTTATTACGGGAGTGGGACTGGTGGCTTTACAAGAAGAGGAAGAGAGACCTGAGCTAGCATGCTCAGCTCCCTCACCATGTGATACCCCATATCGTCTTGGGACTCTGGAGAGTCTCCACAAAGGTCCTCAACAGATGTGGTTCCTCTGCCTGGGACTTCTCAGCCTCCCTAACTATAAGAAATAAATTGTTTTTCCTTATAAATTACCCAGTTTCAAGTATTCTGTTATAAGCAACAGAAAACACAAAGATAGACATGTAACATATTTCTGGAAAAGTTCCAACAAAATAGTTAAAATTTTAAGTATATATATATAGAGATATAAATATGTTCAAAAAATACATATTTTCTTTGAGATGAAGTTTCACTCTTGTTGCCCAGGCTGGAGTACAATGGTGCAATCTCGGCTCACCACAACCTCCACCTCCCAGGTTCAAGCAATTCTCCTGCTTCAGCCTCCCAGGGTAGCTGGGATTACAGGATGTCCACCTACACCTGGCTAATTTATGTATTTTTAGGTATCAGACGGGCTTTCTCCATGTTGGTCAGGGGCTTGGTCTCAATACTCTCACGACTTCAGGTGAGATCCACCTGCCCCTTCGGCCTCCCCCAAAGTCCCGCGGATTACACGGCGTCGAGCCACCTGCGCCAGTCCAAAACCCTTTTTTTTTTTTTTTTTTGAATGGCGTCCTCACTCTCCTTCGCCCAGGCTGGCAGTGAGTGGCCCGCCCTCCCAGCTCACTGCCGCTTCCCACCTCCGGGTTCCCGTGACTTCTCCTCCCCCCGCTTCAGCCTCCCGACTCGCCTCGCACTCCCACGGCCACTCCCCGCGCCCACCATCCAGCAATTTTTCCTTGTAAATTCTTCTTTTCTTATCTTTGCGACAACTACGCTTCTCCTCTGTCGCCCAGGGCTGGAGTGCATGGGTGCCATCTCAGGCCACTGCCCCTCATGCTCTTCTGTGTTCAGCAATCCATCTCAGCCCTCCCAAGTAGCTGGGACTCACGGCAGCTGTGCCACCACCCCCAGCTCAATTTTTGGTACTTCTTTACGTAGAGACAGGGTTTCGCCATGTCTCGCTAGCCACGGCTCTTGGTCTTCGAACTCCTGTCTCAGAGTGATCCACCCATCTCGGCCTCCCAAAGTGCTGGGATTATAGGCGTGAACCACTGCACCCGGCCTGTGTTCAAAAACTCTTATGCATACTTACTTATGTGAAATGCTTCAAATGCCAAAGATGATGTCTAAATGAGATAATCAATGTTTAATGAAGAACAGATTTTAAAAGCTGCATGTTCTGAGTAATAAATATTATTTTGAAGTCATAAGGATCATATTCAAGAATTCTGAACATTCAAAATAAAGATGAAAAGAAACATGTAAAATTTATCAGAAGAACAAAAGAGCAATCGTATGATCCATTCTGATAGAAAGAAGCATTTGATAAAATCCAATACCCATTCCTAATAAAAATTCTTAGTCAACTAAAAATGAAAGGGAGTATCTTTCATTTCATGAAGAGTATCTACAAAAATTTTCCACAAACACAGCTAATGGTGAATTACTGAACGTTACTAAGAATGAGACAAAGTTGCCTACTACCACCACTTCCATTCAACATTTTACTGGAGGTCCTAGCCAATGTAATAAGAAACAAAAGGCATAAAGATGGCAAGGAAAGCCGGGCGTAGTGACTCACGCCTATAGTCCTAGCACTTTGGGAGGCTGAGGCGGGCGGATCACGAGGTCAGGAGATTGAGACCATCCTGGCTAACACGGTGAAACCCCGTCTCTACTAAAAATACAAAAAATTAGCCGGGCATCGTGGCAGGCGCCTGTAGTCCCAGCTACTCGGGAGACTGAGGCAGGAGAATGGCATGAACCCGGGAGGCGGAGCTTGCAGTGAGTGGACATGGCGCCACTGCACTCTAGCCTGGGCGACAGGGCGAGACTCCATCTCAAAAAAAAAAACAGGCAAGGAAAAAATAAAATTATCAGGTCACAGATGACATGATTATATACATAGAAGACCCAAAACAAATCTACATACAAACTGTAAGAATAAATTAATTTAGCAAGGTTGCTGAACACAAAGTCAATATATAAAAATTATAGTTTAATATATCAGCAAATGAATTGAAAATGAAATTAAAAGAAGATCCTATCTTCACAGTGTGTAAGAACAGTGTGAAGAGCAAGAATTTAGTGGTGTATTTAGTACTGTCCAGGGGAAAAGGAACGATTAGTGGCCATATATTTCAATTAGCTGACTGCCAAAGCTTGTTCAAAACTGACCCCTTCTGCTCTGAATACACGCTCATACTCAAGAGTCTTGGTAGAGTCCTGGGACAATTCCTTACTAGGAAATTAGGAGCTTCACATCTTAAAAGGATGGATGAGATTATCTGAGCTGAAGCCAGCCAGTCCTTGTGGGCCTGACTGCTCATGGTGAGCCTGAATTGGACTCAGTTCACTCCTTTTTTAGGGCCTGATGGCTAGCTTTTGGGAGCAGCTTTAAACAGGACTGACAGGCACCCACCCACTTGTGCCTGCTGCTATAGCAGCCACTCAAACACCTGAGGACAGAAGAGCAGCTCCTCCCCTCAGCAGATAAGGAAGGACCCACAAATCGTGAGAACAACTTCAGTCAGCTGCCTTTTTTTCTTCATCTTTTAAGTTCAGGGGTACATGTGCAGGATGTGCAGGTTTATTACATAGGTAAACATGTACCATGGTGGTTTGCTGCACAGATCATCCCATCACCTAGATATTAAGCCCAGCATCTATCAGCTGTTCTTCCTGATGCTCTCCCTCCCGCAACACCCCTACTCCGAAAGGCCCCAGTTTCTGTTGTTTCCTCACCCCCTTTTGTCCCTGTGTTCTCATCATTCAGCTCCCACTTGTAAGTGAGAACATGCGGTATTTGGTCTTCTGTTCCTGTGTTGGTTTGCTGAGGATAACGGCTTCCGATGCCATCCATGTCCCTGCAAAGGACATGCTCTCGTTCCTTTTTATCAGCTGCCTTTTCCACCCCACTTTCCTGGCAGAATAAGAAATCGTAACCCCCAGTTTTCCCTCCTCTTTCCCCCTTTTTCCCCACTTGGTCCAGGAAGATAAGAACAAATCTTGTTTGTTTTCTGCCCATGCTATGACTGTCTGTTCTCTGTGTGAATGCTTATTTGTTTCGAGGGAAAAGAACCAAACTGTACTTCTAAACCCTAGAACTAGACAGCTGTTATCAGACCCTATACATGAAGCTACATTCTAATGGACAGTTTAGCATCCCAGTTAACTTGATATGGTAGTAAATGGATACCGTGAGATATTATCAGCATTCTGATCCCTGGAAAAGGGTATCAATCACTGAAAATTAATAAATTTGCTTACCAGTTAATTAGGCTACAATGAGTTTAATTACTCTGGGTGCACTAACGAAATTTAATACCTGGACATGCAAAGCTGAGGACTGGATGCTAGAATGACGTAGCCTACCAAGACACTGTGCTGTGTGTGAAGTTCCATGAGGGCAACCAACATGCCTTCCACACTAACATTTCTATCTTTTCTCCCTGTAACTAAGGCAGTGGTTTGGAAGTCACTTTATATCGAAGTGTAATTCATTATAATTTGAGGGACTATAGTCTGGAAGTGTTTAGTTACCAAATGAGAGGGCCAATTTAAAAAATAATCTTAAAAAGCACCCAAATACTGATGTCAATTTAAAACACTTTTCCAACACCAGAGCTCACAAATAATAACCATCAGGGTATTCAATAACTCAACAAATATTTATTAGGCACCTACTACACAGCCAAGCATTCTGCTCCTGATAAACCACATAATCAACAGAGAATCACTGCAATGAAAATACAATGTTTCACTAAATTACTCTGCTTACATACTCCAAACATTCATTGCAGGAAGCACATAATTTTAGCATACCTTCATTGACATCTTTGTCTTGGGATTTGGTAGAGTTAATTCCTGATGACGATGGAACTTCAGAGTCATCGGGATTTTCTTCAGCTGACAACTTTCCTTTTTCCTGAAGACTCTGTGATTGGAAATTAATTAATGATTCCAAAAAATAACGCAGACTTAGCTCTCCCCAGCCACAGAGTATCTGGTTCTAGTCCTAGCTTTGCCACTCAGGCATTTTGTGACCATGGGTTGGCAGTTTATAGAATAGGGCATTTGCCTCATTTTCTAGTCCTACAAAACTTCAGCTGTGAACACATACACAGTAGGTGGAATCTAAGTTTGAATACTGTCAAAGCATTTCAAAGTACTTAGATCTTACCCTTCAATCTGTCATTTGTAAAACTAAAAATGAAAAATCTTAATAATTTCATTAATGAACACATTGTATGCTAACATTTTAAATAAAAAGATGGCTTGGTGGCTCACGCCTGTAATCCAACTACTTTGGGAGGCCAAGACAGGCGGAACCCTTGAGCTCAGGAGTTTGAGACCCGCCTGAGCAACGTGGAGAAACCCCGTCTCTACAAAAAATATAAAAATTAGCAGAGTGTGATGGCTCACACCTGTGGTCCCAGCTACTTGGTGGCTGAGGCAGGAGGATTGCTTGAGTCCGGGAGGCGGAAGTTGCAGTGCGCCCAGATCGCGTCACTGCACTCCAGCCTGGGTGACACAGCGAAACTCTGAAAATAAAATAAATGAAAAGATGAGTCCATACTAGTCGCATGAATTATTAAAGAATCTGCCGGCCAGGCACAGTAATCCCAGCATTTTGGGAAGCCGAGGCGGGTGGATCACGTGGTCAGGAGTTTGAGACCATCCTGGCCAACACGGTGAAACCCCGTCTCTACCAAAAATACAAAAATTAGCAGGCGTGGTAGAAGGCGCCTGTAGTCCCAGCTACTCGGGAGGCTGAGGCAGGCGAATGGCTTGAAATCAGAAGGCCGAGGTTGCCGTGAGCTGAGATCGTGCTACTGCACTCCAGCCTGGGCAACAAGAGCGAAACTCCGTCTGAAAAAAAAAAAAAAGAATCTGCCAGCGAACTTAAAAACGTTTCATTACTTTTATTTTCTCTTGGACTTGAAGTAAGCAAGAAGATACAAAAAGTTCAGATATTTCTAAGTATGGGGGAAAAAAGGTATGGGTGAAGATTATCTTCTTATCAGACAATACTTTTTCATGGACTATTACTTCACACCAGCGGGAGACTCCTCAAAAACAGGAGCTCAATCGTTCCAGTTCAGAAAAGGAGACACTGGGGCCTAAAGAAGAGAGGTGAGAGGTGAGCTACCCACCCACCGTCACAAAACGACTTAGTGGCAAAGCTAGGACTGGAACCTGAGACTCCAAACTCTTCTCCCCACCTCCCATTTAACTTACCAGCGTTAAGCTACCCTGAAATAAAAACGTAGTATTAGGGGGAAAAAGAAGAGGTTACCACCAAGACGAAAGGTTTTCGGTGGGCGAAAACGTTTTAAGGATTTTAGCACAGGGATGAGGGGTGAAAACCGAAGTTTCGGTAAGATAAAGAAGAAGCTGCTGAAAGTTCCCAGCCCGCCCCCATCACGGTGAAAGCGGTCGTCTGGGTCCCCGACACCTAAGTGTATTAGGGCAACGAGAGTGAAGGGCACCGAGGCCTAGCATCGCCTCACTTTCTTCTCGCGGGTTTTTCTCTCTTCTCTCCGCCGTTCGAACTCCTCGAAGGAGATTTTCCCTTCCAAGTAGTCGATGAGTTCCGGACTGAACCCTGACATGTTTGCAGGGTCTGTCTGTGCAACCCCAGGAACCGGGACAGAGAACCGGAAGAGCAGCGCTTTCCAGACGCTACCTCGCCAGGGCCAGCAAAAGCAACAAACCGGCGTCCTTCCGCGAAACCCGCCGGGTCTGCGCCGCAGCCGCAGCACTCAGGTTCCGCGTGCGCGCCAGGCCGGGACCTATATATAAGAGGCGCGCTCCTTGCAGACTCGGTCGGCCGACTAGCTCAGCCTTCGGTGCGGAGTATTAGATAGTTCAAAAAAAAAAAAAAAAGTGCTTTAAATATATTTTCTTTAACCTGGGTGATTTCCCTCAATTCTTCCCTAAGTGTTAGTTTCATTCTCCCAATCCATTTTTTTTTTTTTTTTTTAAGACGGAGTCGCGCTCTGTCGCCCAGGCTGGAGTGCAGTAGCGCGATCTCGGCTCACTGCAACCTCCGTCTCCCGGGTTCAAGCGATTTTCCTGCCTCAGCCTCCCGAGAAGCTGGGACTACAGGCACCCGCCACCACGCCTGGATAATTTTCTGTATTTTTAGTAGAGGTGGGGAGTCAGGATGGTCTCGATCTCCTGACCTCGTGATCCGCCCGCCTCGGCCTCCCAAAGTGCTGGGATTACAGGCGTGAGCCACCGCGCCCGGCCTCTCCCAATCCATTTTCTTTCCTGAAGGTTCTTTAAATTAATTTGATCACTGCTGTGTGATATTTTTTTCTTAATTGAACCATTTGCTCTGCCACGTGCATGTTTCACTCTCCAGTTCTCCCCTGCCACAGAAAGCTAAAACCCTCCCCCAATGTATGCTTTAAATTTCACTCCCGCCATTTCTCCCCCACCCGCGCCCTGCTCCCACCCGAAATCCTCAAACTCTCCCTTTCCTCAAGCACCTTCTCAGTCTGTAAATACGTTCACCTGGGCTTCCTGTTCCACCTCTCCCACCCAAGTTTTCTTCCTTTCCTAACAGCAAACTTTCAGAAAGAACCAAATACTTGGTATGGTTACTACACACTGTTGCCCGTATTAGTGTATAATAAATATATAGGCCATCTACTCTTTTATACATATTACATACATTTCTCAAAATAATCCTTTCTTCTCAGTAGGTGTTATTCCTAATGCTATTGTCTCTATCTAATAAGTAGTAGAGCCAGGATTTGAACCCTGGTTTCTGACTCCAGGTCCCACGCTTGGAACTATAATATACTGCCTCCTCTGAATGGTACGGTTTTTCAACTTCTACACATTCCTGTGATTTATATTTTCCCTTATATTATAATTATCCATTTGTCCAATTCTAGAGACACTAGCTGTAAACATCTTGACAACAGCCCTAACTGATGCATCATTGTAAACCCTACTGTATGGCCTAATAATTTGTGCTGAAAACACATTTGTGAATTATATTGGATGGAATTGAAAGTGCCTTTGGAACCTGGGGCAAGGGAGCTGGAGTAGGGAAATGAAGCTCAATATGAAGCTAAGGTTAAAGACAAGTTACAGGGAGAGTATCACCTAGCCATCTTTATGACAATCCTGGTGAGGATAAACAGCAGAAGGATGGGAGAATGAGGGGCCAGGACCTGCAAGGACAGGACTGCCAGGTGAGAAAAAATATATATATATCTTTCAGCTAGAAGTCATTCCCTTTCTCATGAGGAAGGATCCTCAGAGTCCTACCTCCGTATAAAATATGGAAGGTGAGCAGGGTGGAGTATGTTAAAGCAATCCACTTAAACCACTTACAGGGAAATTCTCCTCTAAATTTTTCCAGACAGTGGAGGAACTGTGTCTAAGTGGAATTTAGGAATCTTGAGTCCTAATTCTCCTAGGGGAAAAGAAGAGAAATCAAGTGAGGAGGGATGGTTACCTATAAGGAGAATACTCTCCTAAGACCCAGATGACTTAGACTATCTTGTCTTATTGTTGGCTATCTGAAATATGGGAATAACAATTCTGGAGATATAGATTCATATTATGAAGAACAGGAAGCAGTGAACAAGGAGTCGGAGGGTGGTTTTTTTGTTTGTTTTGTGTGTGTGGTTTTTTTTTTGGCTATGGAACACCTTAATGACATGAAAGTTATTTTAGCAGTCAGACTGTTGCAACATATCTTGAAATTTCAATCTTTCTGTTTTTCTTTCCCCCTCTTCCTTGGGAGAGATTTGTCTCCTGATGAGTCAGAGGTATCCACATTACCTTGGGATGAAGTGGAATGGTTATGGAGATGAAGTGGAAAAATACATTCCGGCTTGTTTTGAAAATCAAAATGGAAAGTCTGAAGGAAGCAGAACATTGAATTTTTACCATGACCATGTAATTAAAAGCATACATTCTTTCTTCTTGCCAGGGAAAAGAGCCAGGATGGGCTGGGACCCTATGTGGGAGACTATTTTTCCATGACTTTATTAATTGTTCTGAAAAAGCTTGTGATAGCTTTGTTCTAGGCTAGCTTTTCAAGGCTGTTTTCAAATCAAACAGCCTTGCAAGGTGGAGCTATTGTCTCTTTCTGGGGCAGGGAACAAATTTTTTTTCCGAACAGTGTAATAAATGTTTCCCTCTGGGCAAAGTTTGGGCGTATTTGCTAGCAGTGCCATTAGAAGAGTGGGGATTGCCTAAGGTTGGAGTTCCTCAGCTTTGACACAAACCCACTGTGCACAGCATACACCTGGACGCACATTCACATGGCCTCCTTGATACTTGGGGAGTAAGGAAAACTGATGTAAGTGTAAAAACTCATGTCACTACCTGCCATGCCATCAGTAAGAAAGTCAGTTGTCTCAGACATAAGGTGTCTCATGTATCTGCCAAGTTTGATAAAAGTGTAGAAAGCTAGTGTGTAACTTGCAAGTAGGATAAAAGCTCACACTCTTAACAGTTCTTGGCCACCCTAGATCTGGGACAGAGGACAATAGGCCAAGTGCTGGGGAATGAGACACTCACTGAAGAGGAGCAGAGGCTCCTTTCAGTGTTGAGAGATTGCCAAGGACCTATATAGGGAGGTATCAGAGACTCCTCCAGAGCCTAAAACACCTGCAGAACATTTATTTGCATTGGAACGAACACTACATACACTTCATCTATGTTCTGGCAGTAGTTCTCAGCCAAGAGCAAAATCATTTCCCTAGTGAATTTTAGAAATGTGTGTAGGGAGGTTTTGGGGTTTTGTTTGTTTGTTTGTTTGAGACGGAGTCTCGCTCTGTTGCCAGACTGGAGTGTAGTGGCACGATCTCGGCTCACCGCAACCTCCATCTCCCGGGTTCAAGTGATTCTCCTGGCTCAGACTCCCGAGTAGTTGGGACTACAGGCGTGAGCCACCACGCCCAGCTCATTTTTGTATTTTTACAAGAGACAGGGTTTCACAATGTTGGCCAGGCTGGTCTCGAACTCCTGACCTCAGGTAATGTTCCCACCTCAGCCTCCCAAAGTGCTGGGATTACAGGCATGAGCCACTATGCCCAGCCCCCGGGAGGTTTTGATTGTCAAAATGATAGGGCAGGCTCGGTGCGTTGTCCAAATGTCCCATGTGGACGCCCTTCCTTTTCAATGCCCTGAAACTGGTAAGCATTCCCTTTGTGGAGGTCTTAACACTCAGAACAGGGACAGTATTAAGAAAGGGAAAACCAACCACTAGTACTTGGAACTCGACAGAGGTGAAAAACTCCCTACCACTCTACCATTTATATGAATAAGCTATACTTTTATGAGGAATAGCTCATCAAGAATTACTTACAATTTTTAAATGGCAAGAAAAAAAGTTTTGACATTAACTAAAAGGAGCTTCCATTACTGTGTGAAGACTGGATGAATAGCACATGTTTATTTCAATTCAACAAGTATCTATTGAACAATTGCTCCATGCTAGGCATCGTACTAGCTGCTGGGGAAATAAAGGTGAATTAGATATGGTCTCTGCTCACAAAGACCTCATGACTCTTCAGGGGAAACAGACACATATACGACTAATTACAATAGAACATCTTAAACCAGACACAAAATCTGTTCTTGCACAAATATTTTATTCTTCATATACAATATCAATAATCCACCAAAAAAAAAAAAAAGCCACAGTAAACTATTTTGAAATGCACAGACTAATGTTAGGACAATGTTGCATTTTAGTGCAACATTCCTTTTGCAGGAATCATAGAGAAGATGATGCAGCTATCTATAAAGATACAGGAAAAGCAGCTATTCCAAATGTGAATATGGGAATCAGAATAACTCAGCATGAGCTAGAGTAAGGAGGGCAGGGGCTGGTTGGAAAGAGAGGAAATCACCTGTTTCTACTTTTCCTTCCTGAGGAGGTTGTGTATGAGAGCAAGGGCTGGGGCATTGCTAGAATATTTGATGTGGCACAATGTCCACCTCTGAATATTCTGGCAAAGAGCATCTTCAGAGGCATTGACAACTTCTAGAATCCCATGTTTGTTGTGGTTGTTTGCTTCCATTTTAACTTAATTGTGGCTGTTTATCACTTGCCCTCATTTCTTATGAAACTAAAACTGTGAGGTCTTTTAGTAGTGTATGCTGAACATGGGAATGCATCTTCTTTTTAGGAAAGGAAGACAAATTTTAAACCCAACCCCCTATCACATATAATGAATTTTACTATACTAAAAGTGAGCATGTCCCTTTAAAAAAAATTGGTTGATAAAAGATAATAAACTTAAAAGACAAGTTTTAAAAACAAGCTTAAAGAAACATCTAATTTAGATTATAATCTTTTTTCAGTTTGTGATGTTTTTGTTACTCCTACAAATGCATGCACTGCTCTACATCAATATTTATGGTTGTACAGGAAAAACACTCCATAAATATGCATAGAAATCATAGTTCCAGCGATTTATATGTAAATATGGAAATGTGGAATAAAATCATTACAAACTGAAAAATAAAAGTGAGGGGGAAAGAAACTCCACGAAAGTTTAGCTACGACAGTGGTTGAATTTTTCTAATGAGAGGCTTCATCTGTAGTTTTACAATAGCCAGACACCTGAAAGAACAAGACAATGTTATAATTAAATAGAAACTGAAGACTACACAGTCAAACCAACGACCCCCAAATCAACATATTTTAATGAAAACTCTTTTTTTCATCATTTTCTCACCAGAGATGTAAGGAACATAGAGCTCATAATTATGAAATATACTCCAAATCAGAAGCTTTGTGTTTTGTTTTGTTTTGTTTTCATAAAGGTGAATAATTCCTGTTCTTTTACGATACCACCAACTGGGTGCTTCATCAGTTTCCTGCCCTTAAATATTACCTCATTCCGTGCTCACATGAAAGTATTTATTTGATATTTTCTATGATACTTTCTGTAAGGTAGAAACTAGTATCTGCAATTTACAGATGAACAAGCTGAGGCTTACAAGCAATTTATCTGCCTTTTACTAAGAGAGGTAGTATGCTATTAATAACTATTCTCTGAAACCCTAAGGCCTAAGTGTAAAAAATAGTAAAGAGAAAACTTCATTAATATCTTACTGTTTCTTCTATTTTATTTTCTCATTTTAGAACAATATCCAAGGGCATATTCCACATGGTAAGTTATATGTTCTTTTTAGAATAGCAATCATTATTTTTTAATCATCACATTTAAAAGAACTAATAATGAAAACCCTTTCACAAACACCATGAAGCACAAGAAAGACATGCTTCCTCAGAATTTCAAAATTACACTTGTGGGAGAACGGGAAAAGATTTTAATTATGATTCCATTCCCTTTATCATTCAGCTAAACAAAAAGCTAATGGATTGAAATCATAATGTATTTGCTTGGAATTCACCATACTTGTTCCTTTTTTTTTTTTTTTTTTTACAAAAAGCTAATGGATTGAAATCATAATGTATTTGCTTGGAATTCACCATACTTGTTCCTTTTTTTTTTTTTTTTTTTGAGACGGAGTCTCGCTCTGTTGCCCAGGCTGGAGTGCAGTGGCGCCATGTCCACTCACTGCAAGCTCCGCCTCCCGGGTTCATGCCATTCTCCTGCCTCAGCTTCCTGAGCAGCTGGGACTAAAGGCACCCGCCACTACGCCCGGCTAATTTTTTGTGTTTTTAGTACAGACGGGGTTTCACTATGTTAGCCAGGATGGTCTTTATTTCCTAACCCCGTGATCCTTCCGCCTTGGCCTCCCAAAGTGCTGAGATTACAGGCGTGAGCCACCGCGCCTGGTCAATCATACTTATTCTTTTTAAATGGTAGGTGTTGGTTTGATAGGAATGCTAAAGTAATAAGAGTAACGAAATTCGCTGGGCGTGCTGGCTCATGCCTGTAATTACAGCACTTTGGGAGACTGAGGTGGGCAGATCCCGAGGTCAGGAGTTCGAGACCAGCCTGGCCAACATGGTGAAACCCTGTCTCTACTAAAAAAAATACAAAATTTATCTGGGCATGGTGGCGGGCACCTGTAATCCCAGCTACTCAGGAGGCTGAGGCAGGAGAATTCTTTGAACCCGGGAGGCGGAGGTTGCAGTGAGCCAAGATCACACCATTGCACCCCAGCCTGGGTGACGGAGTGAGGCTCCACCTCAACAACAACAACAAAAGTAATGAAATTCAAATCTTAATAAATTTTTAAGTTTTTTCTATGAGAAAAATGCCATCCTTACTAATAGTCAACCTTTTCTTTCTATAGGTGAGGAAGTTGAAGTTCAAATATATGCATAATACTTTATCCCCCCAAAAACCATTCTTTTAATTTTTAATTCCCATCTAATCCAATAACTCAATTTGACATATGTCTTTATGTAGATTTTCCACATAACTTAGCTATATCACTTGGTCTGGAAAAAGATACAGGTAAGAGTGTGGCCATGTTATTAATTTAATAATCCTATTAAGAGAGATAATTTTATTATTTTAATATGTCTCTGCCTGGATAACTATGCTTAAAAAATAAAAACTGTCATTTCTTTTTAAAACAAGACTGTAAAATACCTGAAATAAATCCAAATACTTAACAGTGAGGAGTATAAGCAGAACTGAGCACTTATTCCTATGAGGAAATAAAATTATTTTTTCAAATAAATACTTTCAAAATATCTACTTTATGACTGACTTGTATGTTTAGACAGATCCTGCGAATAAAGGGCCACCTTTTACCTGAGCTCAGAAGAAACTTTCAGCCTTTGAGATAATTGTGAAAGGAGTTTTTCTGCTCTTCATAATCTGCAGATGCAGAAGCAGTAAGTTCTGATTGAAAAGAGAGAGGTCTAGGATTCTCATTCATGGGAAAAGGATTTGGAAATGTTCCAAGATCAAGACCTCTGCCCTTAAAATATGCCTGAAGGCTTCTGAAAAACTAAAGAGAGAAAGAAAATGATCAATGCCAGATATAAATGAAACACCAAAAATAAAGGTGATTTTTTTCCCTCTGTTTTTCCCCTGAATTGACTTTAAGGCTAATCTAAGAGGCAAGAGGTTGGAAATCAAAATCCAGAAATACAAGTACATGCTTCAAATACTTCTCCTCCCCTCCCCTGTACCTTCTTTCTGATATTTCAACCCTAACCAAAATAATTCACCATTTTTAGTGAAAATTGAAGGAAGACTATGGAACAGCACCACAGTCGAAAGATTCATTGTGAACTATCTGAGTACTAAGGTCAAAGATGAAAATGAACTCCATAATAAGCAGCTCAGTATCTCCTCTTCCTTAAGATGAGATCTCTGTCACTGCCTTCTTCCGTAGTTTCTTTTCAGATTTCCATTAGGAAATGAACACAGAAGATGTGCAAAGTGCTACTTGCTTCGATATCGGCAGGACAGGCAAACTCCAAAACTGGGGCTTAGCCCAGGATGGGTCTTGGCTTTGCCCAGAAAAGAATTTAAGGGCAGGCTGACTGTGGTAACAATCTTTTATTGAAAGATACTGCTCCTGCCAGAACAAGGCTAACTCACAGGTAGTGCACCCAGAGTTGACAACATATAGTTTCTTAGCAACTGTGTTTTTATCCATTTTTGAATATATGCAAATTAAGGGATGGGTTAATGCAAATAGAAGGGGGTTATTTAGAGCTTTCTAGGAAAGAGGTGGTAACTTTTGGGTCATTGCCATGGAAAGGAGTGGTAGCTTCCAGGTCATTGCCATGATATTTGTAAACTGTCATGGCACTAAGGGGAGTATCATATCCTAATGAGCAATGAGAGCAGGTCGGGATCGGGACCACTTTTGTCGCCATCTGCTGGTTTCACCCAGTGTTTTTACTTTATGCTGTCTGGACCAGATCCTGTTTTGGTCAGCAGCTGTGACCAGAAAACAAATCCTGCTGGTCTTTTATCTCAGTTTATTTTAATCCTATGTTTTTATTTTTTATTTATTTATTTTTTTTTTTTTTTTTTTTTTTTTTTTTGAGACTGAGTCTGGCTCTGTCGCCCAGGCTGGAGTGCAGTGGCCGGATCTCAGCTCACTGCAAGCTCTGCCTCCCGGGTTTACGCCATTCTCCTGCCTCAGCCTCCCGAGTAGCTGGGACCACAGGCGCCCGCCACTTCGCCCGGCTAGTTTTTTGTATTTTTTAGTAGAGATGGGGTTTCACCGTGTTAGCCAGGATGGTCTCGATCTCCTGACCTCGTGATCCACCCGTCTCGGCCTCCCAAAGTGCTGGGATTACAGGCTTGAGCCACCGTGCCCGGCCTAATCCTATGTTTTTATATTTCACATCATTCATTTTAGAAAAACCATATTTCAAAATAGTCATGTCAACATGTTTATTGTATTTGGAATATTTTTAAAAGAGAATGTTTACTGATCTTTTGAATTCTATTTTATAGAATATGTTGAAAATATGCCCAGCAAATTGATACCCATGCAGGGCCAACTTTCAATTTTTGCAGTTGAGCTTGGCAATTGCTAGTTACATGATAATTTGTTTTATCATCAGTTCAATCTAAGCTACGAATGAGCAATTCCCTGTTACACTCTTGGTTTTGTAAATGTATTAGAAGTCAAGGCTACAAAGTCAATGTGTATATAAGATCAGTTACAAATGAAATGCACTCTGTGTATATAAGATTGTTTCTAAATATAAATTTGTTTCTCTTTACAGAAACAAATGTAAACTGGCCAGAGAAACAATAGGTTGCCAACCACTAGGGTAGTAAAACTCTGGTCCAATCCTGTTGGAGAATCTTCTCAACCCTTGGTAGCCCCCTTTCCACTATGCTCTGGAAAACAGAATGCTGTGTGAATAAATCCAAAGAGGCATTAGTTCTATCCTGAAACCCAGGCCCCAGGTGTGTTCTTACCAGATCTCTGTTTCTGGGGTTGTTGAGTGGCTTCCATTTGTCTTTGTTTCTTAGTGTGGCTCCATTCACATGCCAAAGCAGCACCAGGGCAACACATAGTAGCAGGAGAGATGCTCTGGTCATGGTGGAGTGAAGCTGAGTGAAAGAGGAAATGGGGGAGCTGTCAATGATCATTGAGAGAGATAGTCAGGGAAGAGAGAGAGAAAGAGAAAACATCTCTAAAGGCAGACAAGGAAGGAGAAATAGCATACTGGTTCATCTAAGTTTTACAGCCATATTTTTTCCAGATTGACTTCTAAATGAGGACCCCAAAATCCAACTGATTAGCTTAAAGTAGCCCATCATGATGAGAATGTTATACAGTGATAAGCAAAACAAGTATGAACATAACATAGAAAGTCTGAGTATGCCTCTTTCATCTTTGAATAAAAAGTACTTTGTTGTCTCCAAAGAAACTGCAATTCTCAAAATAATAACAAAAAACAAAACCTTAAATTACTTTTAAGCCTTAAGACAGTGGTCTTAAAAAAAAAAAAAAGAAATTACTTCAGATACCCTGAGCTGAGAAATACACCTTACACACACATCTGAGACAGACAGACACGTACCACAACAGTGTGAGTAGAGATTGTCTTCCACTCCAAGGTGTGAAATGGAAACTGAGACACATCATAGAAAAGGCTAATAAAGCTTACCAGGAGTTTGGTTTTGCCTGGTCCTCCTAGGTAATCCTGCCTATAATTGGCAAGGCAATTCATGGGTACTTATAACCAATGGATTGGGTGCAGGTGGAAGTCACTGACGTGAGCAAGGAAGTTCAAAAATAATGATTTCTTATTCATTCAGAGCACAAAGACTCTTGAGAGTCAGATCCTCAAGCTTTTTCAGGGATAAGCTATTTGCCTTAGAAATGCAGCAGCCGTTCCTTGAACCACTAAATATTTTATGGGGATTTTATAAAACACACAAAGCACTTCCACACGCAAAGTGATTTTCTCCTTTTTTACTTTTAAGGGAAGGGATATATGTAGCAGCTAGAAATATGATGATGATTATCCCACCTATTAGAATGTTCTTTGGGAGATACCACTTTTTCAAGTTAACAGCATTTTTTAAACAGAAAATTCTTTTGTGAGAGACAAAATTACTCTTTTTGACCTATATCTTGTACTTTTTCTGAGAATCCCAAGAAGCTTTACAAGTTTTAAATAGTAGCATCGTTTATCATAATATCCCTTCAAAATAGAGCAAGAAGATAACACATGTTTCATGGAAAAAAGAAAAATTACTATACTTACAACATTCCATTGCTGAATAAATGCCATCTGTAGAAAACGGGAGGCCGAGAAATTGGACTTGAGTTGTGACGTTGCTTTGGTTCCAATGATTTAGAACAAAATTTAGGACAAGATATTTATTCAGAAGGCTGGTGATCTGGACTGGAAACTATAGTCTCAGCCTTGCCATCTTGACCCTGGGCAAGTTACTACGACCTCTGCCCTTCATTTGTGCATTTCCTCTGTTTATTCAGTCAGCAGACTTTTAGAAAGTGCCTACTGTGTGCCAGGCACTGCAATAGGCTTTGAGGATGAAACGGTAAGAATAATAAATACAGTCCTTGCCCTCATTAAATAGAGCAGTAGGCAAGATAAATATTAATCAAATCATTATACAACCAAATGTGTACATATAAGTCAACAATCGTTTTTATGAAATAGCGAGTGCTATGAAAGTACAGAAAAAGGAAATTTGACTTAGTCTGAGGGCCAGGGAAGGCTTCTGTGAGGAAATGACCTTACATCCAGTCAATTGAATAGGAGTTGCCTAGGCAACCTGAGGAGGACAGAGGGAGAAGCGTGTCAAACAAGGTGAACAGCTGTGCTAGGAATGGGACACATTAAAGGTACTGAAATTATACCAGGCATAGAGGGAGCAAGTGAGGAGCCTGATGCAAGATGGGGCCAGAGAGGCAGTCAGATTATGATCCTTCAGCTACAAGTAATGCTTACTAATTAAAAGGGTTTTAGGCATCTAAGCAGCTTGATAATACTTGCATTTATTCTGGTTGCAGTGGGAAGGACAGACTGAGCTAGAAAAGAGGGCTGCACAAAGCCAGTTGGGTGGTTACACAGTAGTCCAGGCAGGAAAAGATGTTAACTTGGATTAGGATGGTGTTAGCACAGATGCAGAGATTATAGGTAGATCTGAGAGAGATTTATGAGGGATTGTTAATGTACTGGATACTATGGGGTGGGGGGCTAAGGAGACGGGAGTTTCAAAACCAATTGCTAGGTCTGTGTGTTATGCAGGTGAGTGGGTTACAGTGCCATTCACCAAGATATCAAACCCAGGCATGGAGGAGTGAAGATCATCATTCCATTTGAAATGTGTTGAGTTAGAGGAGGCTTTGAGATTTCCTCATGGGGATGGAGAGTATGCAATACTCTGGAGTTCAAAGGAGAAATCTGGGAAGGAAATGCAAATTTGGGAGTTGTTGGTATAGAAGTGAATGAGATTACGTCGGTAAAGGTTAGAATATGAGGAAAAAAGGAGGCCACAAACTTGAGCTTTGGGAAATGTTAACATGTAACAGCAACATACAGGAATCTACAAAAGAGATCCTGGAGTTGAGAGAAAATCAGTAAAGTATGGAAGCAAGAGAAGAAAGTGTTTCAAGAAGGGACACACTGGATAAAATGGGTCTATGGAGCATTTGAACTGTTTTGGTAGAAAGTTAGATTAGAAAGGAGTGGATAGAGAGCAAAAAGATTGAGTATAGCAAGCTCTTAGAAACGCAGCTATGAAAAGAAAGAAGGTAGTTACTAGAGTGAGAAGTAGAGTCAAGGAAAGGTGTTGTAGTTGTTAAAATGTGAGAGGCTTGTTTGTTTAAATGTCAGTGATTAGGTGAGTAAATGAACACCCCGGAATTTTATTACATCACTCTTTTTAAAACCCTAGGACTTTAAAGTTAAAGTATCTAATAATATTGAAACATTAAATTTTTACTGAGGTTCAACATATACAAATCAATAAATGTAATCCATCACATAAACAGAACCAATGACAAAAACCACAACATGATTTGTCTCAATAGATGCAGAAAAGGCCTTTGACAAAATTCAACAGCCCGTCATGCTAAAAACTCTCAATAAACCAGGTATTGATGGAACATATCTCAAAATAATAAGAGCTATTTATGACAAACCCACAGTCAATAACATACTGAATGGGCAAAAACTGGAAGCATTCCCTTTGAAAACCGGCACTAGACAAGGATGCCCTCTCTCACCACTCCTATTCAACATAGTATTGGAAGTTCTGGCCAGGGCAATCAGGCAAGAGAAAGAAAGAAAGGGTATTCAATTAGGAAAAGAGGAAGTCTAATTGTCTCTGTTTGCAGATGACATGATTGTATATTTAGAAAACCCCAACGTCTCAGCCCAAAATCTCCTTAAGCTGATAAGCAACTTCAGCAAAGTCTCAGGATACAAAAATCAATGTACAAAAATCAATGTGCAAAAATCACAAGCATTCCTACACACCTATAACAGACAGAGAGCCAAATCATGAGTGAACTCCCATTCACAACTGCTAGAAAGAGAATAAAATACTTTGGAATACAACTTATAAGGGATGTGAAGGACCTCTTCATGAAGAACTGCCAACCATTGCTCAAGGAAATAAGAGATGACACAAACAAATGGAAAAACATTCCATGCTCATGGATAGGAAGAATCAATATTGTGAAAACGGCCATACTTCCCAAAGTAATTTATAGAATCAATGCTATTCCCATCAAGCTACCATTGACTTTCTTCACAGAACTGAAAACGACTACTTTAAATTTCATATGGAACAAAAAAAAGAGCCCACATAGCCAAAAATACAACAAAAAAGAAGAAGGAAACAAACAAACAAACAAACAAAAAAACAAAGAACAAAGCTGAAGGCATCATGCTACCTGACTTCAAACTATACTACAAGGCTACATTAACCAAAACAGCATGGTACTGGTACCAAAGCAAATATGTAGACCAATGGAACAGAACAGAGGCCTCAGAAATAACAGCATACATCTACAACCATCTGATCTTTGACAAACCTGACAAAAACAAGCAATGGGGAAAGGACTCCCTATTTAATAAATGATGTTGGGAAAACTGACTAGCCAAATGCAGAAAGCTGAAACTGGATCCTTTCCTTACACCTTATACAAAAATTAACTCAAGATGGATTAAAGACTTAAACATAAGACCTAAAACCATAAAAACCCTAGAAGAAAATCTAGGCAATACCATTCAGGACACAGGCATGGGCAAAGACTTCAGAACTAAAACACCAAAAGCAATGGCAACAAAAGCCAAAATTGGCAAATGGGATCTAATTAAACTAAAGAGCTTCTGCACAGGAAAAGAAACTATCATCAGAGTGAACAGGCAACCTACAGAATGAGAGAAAATTTTTGCAATCTATCCATCTGACAAAGGGCTAATAGCCAGAATCTACAAAGAACTTAAACAAATTTAGAAGAAAAAAGCAAACAACCCCATCAAAAAGTGGCGAAGGATATGAACAGACACTTCTCAAAAGAAGACATTTATGCGGCCAGCAAACATGAAAAAAAGCTCATCATCACTGGTCACTAGAGAAATGCAAATCAAAACCACAATGAGATACCATCTCACCCCAGTTAGAATGGCGATCATTAAAAAGTCAGGAAACAACATATGCTGGAGAGGATGTGGAGAAATAGGAACGCTTTTACACTGTTGGTGAGAGTGTGAATTAGTTCAACCATTATGGCAGACAGTGTGGTGATTCCTCAAGGATCTAGAACTAGAAATATCATTTGATCCAGCAATCCCATTACTGGGTATATACCCAAAGGATTATAAGTCATTCTACTATAAAGACACATGCACACATATGTTTATTGTGGCACTGTTCACAACAGCAAAGACTTGGAACCAACCCAAATGCCCTTCAATGATAGACTGGATAAAGAAAATGTGGCACATATACACCATGGAATACTATGCAGCCATGAAAAAGACATGGATTTGGAGGGATGCGGATGAAACTGGAAACCATCATTCTCAGCAAACTAACACAGGAACAGAAAGCCAGACACTGCATGTTCTCACTCATAAGTGGGAACTGAACAATGAGAACACATGGACACAGGGAGGGGAACGTCACACACCAGGGCCTATTGGGGGTTGAGGAGCTGGGGGAAGGATAGTACTAGGAGAAATACTAATGTAGATGACGGGTTGATGAGTGCAGCAAACCACCATGGCACTGTATGCTTTGTAACAAACCTGCATGTTCTGCACATGTACCCCAGAACTTGTAGTATAATCAAAAACAAATAAAAAATTTTTTTACTGATATTATAGCAAAAAGTCACGACACTATAAACTCCTTAGACAGTGCCCACCCTCATATTCCCAGTGCCTAATGTTGAGCCCAATATGCAAGCATTTTTAAAACAGGAAACACTGCCTGAATAAATTAGAACAGATTTTCATAGCCATTTATCTACAAATAATTGATAGTTCCATTTGTATAAAAACATAGCTCATTTGTTCTTTTAAGAGCTTCTTACATTTTTAAGACATATTTAAAGTTTCTCAAAGGAACCAATGAACCAAAGGTAACATACATACTATAGTCTTGTTCCTTAACACTGGAGTTTCCTTGATAGAACATAGAACTATATGTTTAAGTTAAAAAAATTAATTCCTTTGTTTCTTTTTTAAGAGACAGGGTCATACTCTGTCACCCAGGCTGGAGTACAGTGGTACAATCATAGCTCACTGCATCCTCTAGGCTCAAGTGATCCTTCCACCCTAGCCTCCTGAGTAGCTAGGTCTACAGGCACACATCACCATGGCTGCCTCTCTTTTTTTTTTTTTTTTTCTTTTTTTGTAGAACCATGTCTCACTATGTTGCCCAGGCTGGTCTCAAACTCCTGGCCTCAAGTCATTCTCCTGCCTAAGCCTCCCAACGTTCTGGGATTTCAGGCATGAGCCACCATGCCTGGCCACTTTCTTAATTTTAAACTTCTTTTTTAAAGAGCAGAAGGTACCATTGATAACGTTGATTATGACATTTCCTTCAAAATGTATCAACACAGCACTAAGTAGATATTTTATAATTATTTGGTTAATAGGTTCAATCGAGAGAGAGAGAGATAAAAAAAAATACCCCACAATATTTTAGGTTCTCAAACCATTAGTTTCTGGTCCAAATCATCTCATTTAGCCTCTTCATTAAGTAGTGCGTTTGTAAAAGTAGCAGTTGGGACAAAAGAGTGTGGTAGCAGGCGAAAAGGTGCTTCTGCACCCAGAGGCATTTGAATGAAATTCTTTGCTAGCATTTCTCAGGTGGAATTTGTAAAGAAAATAGAGTACTCAGCACAGAACCACACACATGAAAGAAATCCAAATATGTGTTGATTGAATTACAAATTGAAGAATAATATAAATGCAAACACAGGGTAATTGTGGGGAAAGCATACTAAATAAAGAAGGTAGGGAGGAATCTTTAAACCATTTATTGGACTATATAACCTTTTCAAACCCTTCTTGTCTCTATTAAGAAAAAAAAAAAAAAACCAGAGCTGATACAGCTTGTTAGCTGTGTCATGAACAGGGACATAAAAATTTAATCTCTTTTTTCTTCCCCTTGGCCTAAGTGAATAGGAAAATTATTATTTATAGAGTGCCTCCTCAGTGATGATGAGGACTTCAAAAATAAGGGAAAGTTTGCTCATATGATTAATAGAGCAGGCTAGGCAGCTTTCTGCTCATAGCAATAACTGCTTTTTTTGTGTGTGGCAGCAGACAGATTTCAGTTTGAAGGTGGAATAAAGAGAAGGAGGAAGAAATAAACCTCTTGTGATACACAGAACAGAAGCAAAGAGCTGTGGGTCAAGGGAGCCATACTGAATATGATGGACAGGAGAGTAGGGGCTCACCCCTCATATTCTGGGGGCACAAAAATCTTCCAGATTCTATGAGACCCAGAGGAGGTGAGGGATGGCAAAGAAACTATTGAAGATGAACTTCCCTCCTCCCCCATTGGCATAGGAGCTGAGAGTCAAACAAAGTTGGTTAAAAACACACATGACATTCTCAAAAACTTCCACAGTAGGATGAACCATTTGTCCTTTTCAGCAGCATCTATACTAAGTGTAAGTATAAAGTTGACCCTCAGAATTCTGTATTTATTCACTATGGAGAAATCTGTTAAGTTCTTTGCTATCATCAGTTTTGTTTTTTAAAAAATGGCAAAGTAAAGATGGCAGTAATAGAAACTGGGGACTATTAGAGGGAAGGAGAGAGGGAGGAAGGCAGGGGTTGAAAAACTAACTGCCGGGTACTATGCTCAGTACCTCGGTGATGGGATCATTCATATCCCAAACCTCTGCATCATGTAATATACCCAGGTAACAAACCAGCATATGTACCCCCTGAATCTAAAATAAAAGTTGGAAAAAAATGTTAGAGGGGTATATTAAAAAGGATAAAAGATTTTCCTCTGTTTAAAATATGTTACAGCTGTTTTTACCTAATAGGGCCAAAGTGTGAGCCAATTTCAAAAGCCTGAGTATTGGGGGAACCTGCCCCCAATATTTCAACATAGGTTTCTTCTATTTTCCGTAAGTGTCAGCCGGCTGAGAAATAAAGAGAAAGAGTACAAAGAAAGGAATTTTACCGTTGAGCCACCACGGGTGACATCACATATTGGTAGGACCGTGATGACCACCTGAGCCTTAAAGCCAGCAAGTTTTATTAAGGATTTCAAAAGGTGAGGGGGTGCAAGAACAGGGATTAGGTCACAAAGATCACATGCTTCAAAGGGCAAAAAGGAGAACAAAGATCACATGCTTCTGAGGAAACAGGACAAGGGTGAAATCAGAAACTCCTGATAAGGGTCCAGCAAAGATCACAAGGCAAAGGGCAAAAGCAGAATTACTGACAAGGGTCTATGTTCAGCAGTGCACGTATTGTCTTGATAAACATCTAAACAACAGAAAACAGGG